CGGGTATTAGGTTTTGGGGCTATGGTAAGGTTTAAGTTTTTTGGCGTTAGGGTTAAAATCACTGTCCAAAACCTTTGTAGGAACTCTTTTCCAACCTTTTGGAGTTAGTTAGACCAAAAAATATGAAAAAAGAAAAAAATATTATTGGGGGTTTCAGGGCTTCCTGAAGGTAATACCCAGGTATTAGGTTTTGGGACTGGGGAAAGGTTTAAGGTTTTTGGCGTTAGGGTTAAAATCACTGTCCAAAACCTTTGTAGGAACTCTTTTCCAACCTTTTGGAGTTAGTTAGACCAAAAAATATGAAAAATGAAAAAATATATATTTGGGGTTTTCCGGGCTTCCTGAAAGTAATACCCGGGTATTAGGTTTTGGGGCTATGGTAAGGTTTAAGTTTTTTGGCGTTAGGGTTAAAATCACTGTCCAAAACCTTTGTAGGAACTCTTTTCCAACCTTTTGGAGTTAGTTAGACCAAAAAAAAATGAAAAATGAAAAAACAATATTTGGGGTTTTCGGGGTTCCTGAATGTAATACCCGGGTATTAGATTTCAAGGCTAGGGTAAGGTTTAAGTTTTTTGGCGTTAGGGTTAAAATCACTGTCCAAAACCTTTGTAGGAACTCTTTTCCAACCTTTTGGAGTTAGTTAGACCAAAAAGTATGAAAAAAGAAAAAAATATTATTGGGGGTTTTCGGGCTCCCTGAAAGTAATACCCGGGTATTAGGTTTTGGGGCTAGGGTAAGGTTTAAGTTTTTTGGCGTTAGGGTTAAAATCACTGTCCAAAACCTTTGTAGGAACTCTTTTCCAACCTTTTGGAGTTAGTTAGACCAACAAAAATGTAAAATGAAGAAAAAAATATTTGGGGTGTTCAGGCTTCCTGAAGGTAATACCCGGGTATTAGATTTCAAGGCTAGGGTAAGGTTTAAGGTTTTTGGCGTTAGGGTTAAAATCACTGTCCAAAACCTTTGTAGGAACTCTTTTCCAACCTTTTGGAGTTAGTTAGACCAAAAAATATGAAAAAAGAAAAAAATATTATTGGGGGTTTTTGGGCTCCTGAAAGTAATACCCGTGTATTAGGTTTTGGGACTAGGGAAAGGTTTAAGGGTTTTGGCATTAGGGTTAAAATCACTGTCCAAAACCTTTGTAGGAACTCTTTTCCAACCTTTTGGAGTTAGTTAGACCAAAAAAAAAAGAAAAATGAAAAAAAAATATTTGGGGTGTTCAGGCTTCCTAAAAGTAATACCCGGGTATTAGGTTATGGGGCTATGGTAAGGTTTAACGTTTTGGCGTTAGGTTTAAAATCACTGTCCAAAACCTTTGTAGGAACTCTTATTCAACCTTTTGGAGTTAGTTAGACCAGAAAAAAAAATGAAAAATGAAAAAAAAAATATTTGGGGTATACGGGCTTCCTGAATGTAATACCCGGGTATTAGATTTTAAGGCTAGGGAAAGGTTTAAGTTTTTTGGCGTTAGGGTTAAAATCACTGTCCAAAACCTTTGTAGGAACTCTTTTCCAACCTTTTGGAGTTAGTTAGACCAAAAAATATGAAAAAAGAAAAAAATATTATTGGGGGTTTTCGGGCTTCCTGAAAGTAATACCCGGGTATTAGGTTTTGGGGCTATGGTAAGGTTTAAGTTTTTTGGCGTTAGGGTTAAAATCACTGTCCAAAACCTTTGTAGGAACTCTTTTCCAACCTTTTGGAGTTAGTTAGACCAAAAAAAAAAAGAAAAATGAAAAAAAATATTTGGGGTTTTCGGGCTTCCTGAATGTAATACCCTGGTATTAGGATTTTAAGGCTAGGGTAAGGTTTAAGTTTTTTGGCGTTAGGGTTAAAATCACTGTCCAAAACCTTTGTAGGAACTCTTTTCCAACCTTTTGGAGTTAGTTAGACCAAAAAGTATGAAAAAAGAAAAAAAAATATTTGGGGTGTTCAGGCTTCCTGAAAGTAATACCCGGGTATTAGGTTATGGGGCTATGGTAAGGTTTAACGTTTTGGCGTTAGGGTTAAAATCACTGTCCAAAACCTTTGTAGGAACTCTTTTCCAACCTTTTGGAGTTAGTTAGACCAAAAAAAATGAAAAATGAAAAAAATATATTTTGGGTGTTCAGGCTTCCTAAAAGTAATACCTGGGTATTAGGTTATGGGGCTATGGTAAGGTTTAAGGTTTTTGGCGTTAGGGTTAAAATCACTGTCCAAAACCTTTGTAGGAACTCTTTTCAACCTTTTGGAGTTAGTTAGACCAAAAAAATATGAAAAATGAAAAAAAAAATATTTGGGGTTTACGGGCTTCCTGAATGTAATACCCGGGTATTAGATTTTAAGGCCAGGGAAAGGTTTAAGTTTTTTGGCGTTAGGGTTAAAATCACTGTCCAAAACCTTTGTAGGAACTCTTTTCCAACCTTTTGGAGTTAGTTAGACCAAAAAATATGAAAAAAGAAAAAAATATTATTGGGGGTTTTCGGGCTCCCTGAAAGTAATACCCGGGTATTAGGTTTTGGGGCTATGGTAAGGTTTAAGTTTTTTGGCGTTAGGGTTAAAATCACTGTCCAAAACCTTTGTAGGAACTCTTTTCCAACCTTTTGGAGTTAGTTAGACCAAAAAATATGAAAAAAGAAAAAAATATTATTGGGGGTTTTCGGGCTTCCTGAAGGTAATACCCAGGTATTAGGTTTTGGGACTGGGGAAAGGTTTAAGGTTTTTGGCATAAGGGTTAAAATCCCTGTCCAAAACCTTTGTAGGAACACTTTTCCAACCTTTTGGAATTAGATAAACCAAAAAAATATGAAAAATGAAAAAATATATATTTGGGGTTTCCGGGCTTCCTGAAAGTAATACCCGGGTATTAGGTTTTGGGGCTATGGTAAGGTTTAAGTTTTTTGGCGTTAGGGTTAAAATCACTGTCCAAAACCTTTGTAGGAACTCTTTTCCAACCTTTTGGAGTTAGTTAGAACAAAAAATATGAAAAAAGAAAAAAATATTATTGGGGGTTTTCGGGCTCCCTGAAAGTAATACCCGGGTATTAGGTTTTGGGGCTATGGTAAGGTTTAAGTTTTTTGGCGTTAGGGTTAAAATCACTGTCCAAAACCTTTGTAGGAACTCTTTTCCAACCTTTTGGAGTTAGTTAGACCAAAAAAAAAATGAAAAATGAAAAAACAATATTTGGGGTTTTCGGGGTTCCTGAATGTAATACCCGGGTATTAGATTTTAAGGCTAGGGTAAGGTTTAAGTTTTTTGGCATTAGGGTTCAAATCACTGTCCAAAACCTTTGTAGGAACTCTTTTCCAACCTTTTGGAGTTAGTTAGACCAAAAAGTATGAAAAAAGAAAAAAATATTATTGGGGGTTTTCGGGCTCCCTGAAAGTAATACCCGGGTATTAGGTTTTGGGGCTATGGTAAGGTTTAAGTTTTTTGGCGTTAGGGTTAAAATCACTGTCCAAAACCTTTGTAGGAACTCTTTTCCAACCTTTTGGAGTTAGTTAGACCAAAAAAAAATGAAAAATTAAAAAACAATATTTGGGGTTTTCGGGGTTCCTGAATGTAATACCCGGGTATTAGATTTTGAGGCTAGGGTAAGGTTTAAGTTTTTTGGCATTAGGGTTAAAATCACTGTCCAAAACCTTTGTAGGAACTCTTTTCCAACCTTTTGGAGTTAGTTACACCAAAAAGTATGAAAAAAGAAAAAAATATTATTGGGGGTTTTCGGGCTCCCTGAAAGTAATACCCGGGTATTAGGTTTTGGGGCTAGGGTAAGGTTTAAGTTTTTTGGCGTTAGGTTTAAAATCACTGTCCAAAACCTTTGTAGGAACTCTTTAACAACCTTTTGGATTTAGTTAGACCAAAAAAAATGTAAAATGAAGAAAAAAATATTTGGGGTGTTCAGGCTTCCTGAAGGTAATACCCGGGTATTAGATTTCAAGGCTAGGGTAAGGTTTAAGGTTTTTGGCGTTAGGGTTAAAATCACTGTCCAAAACCTTTGTAGGAACTCTTTTCCAACCTTTTGGAGTTAGTTAGACCAAAAAATATGAAAAAAGAAAAAAATATTATTGGGGGTTTTTCGGGCTCCCTGAAAGTAATACCCGGGTATTAGGTTTTGGGACTAGGGAAAGGTTTAAGGGTTTGGCATTAGGGTTAAAATCACTGTCCAAAACCTTTGTAGGAACTCTTTTCCAACCTTTTGGAGTTAGTTAGACCAAAAAATATGAAAAAAGAAAAAAATATTATTGGGGGTTTTCAGGCTTCCTAAAAGTAATACCCAGGTATTAGGTTTTGTGGCTATGGGAAGGTTTAAGTTTTTTGGCGTTAGGGTTAAAATCACTGTCCAAAACCTTTGTAGGAACTCTTTTCCAACCTTTTGGAGTTAGTTAGACCAAAAAAAAAAAAAAGAAAAATGAAAAAAAAATATTTGGGGTGTTCAGGCTTCCCAAAAGTAATACGTATTAGGTTATGGGGCTATGGTAAGGTTTAACGTTTTGGCGTTAGGTTTAAAATCACTGTCCAAAACCTTTGTAGGAACTCTTTTTCAACCTTTTGGAGTTAGTTAGACCAAAAAAAAAAAGAAAAATGAAAAAAAAATATTTGGGGTGTTCAGGCTTCCTAAAAGTAATACCCGGGTATTAGGTTATGGGGCTATGGTAAGGTTTAAGTTTTTTGGCGTTAGGGTTAAAATCACTGTCCAAAACCTTTGTAGGAACTCTTTTCCAACCTTTTGGAGTTAGTTAGACCAAAAAAAAAATGGAAAATGAAAAAAAAAATATTTGGGGTTTACGGGCTTCCTGATTGTAATACCCGGGTATTAGGTTTTAAGGCTAGGGTAAGGTTTAAGTTTTTTGGCATTAGGGTTAAAATCACTGTCCAAAACCTTTGTAGGAACTCTTTTCCAACCTTTTGGAGTTAGTTAGACCAAAAAAAAAATGAAAAATGAAAAAACAATATTTGGGGTTTTCGGGGTTCCTGAATGTAATACCCGGGTATTAGATTTTAAGGCTAGGGTAAGGTTTAAGTTTTTTGGCATCAGGGTTAAAATCACTGTCCAAAACCTTTGTAGGAACTCTTTTCCAACCTTTTGGAGTTAGTTACACCAAAAAGTATGAAAAAAGAAAAAAATATTATTGGGGGTTTTCGGGCTCCCTGAAAGTAATACCCGGGTATTAGGTTTTGGGGCTATGGTAAGGTTTAAGTTTTTTGGCGTTAGGGTTAAAATCACTGTCCAAAACCTTTGTAGGAACTCTTTTCCAACCTTTTGGAGTTAGTTAGACCAAAAAAAAAAAGAAAAATGAAAAAAAAATATTTGGGGTGTTCAGGCTTCCTAAAAGTAATACCCGGGTATTAGGTTATGGGGCTATGGTAAGGTTTAAGTTTTTTGGCGTTAGGTTTAAAATCACTGTCCAAAACCTTTGTAGGAACTCTTTTCCAACCTTTTGGAGTTAGTTAGACCAAAAAATATGAAAAAAGAAAAAAATATTATTGGGGGTTTTCGGGCTCCCTGAAAGTAATACCCGGGTATTAGGTTTTGGGGCTATGGTAAGGTTTAAGTTTTTTGGCGTTAGGGTTAAAATCACTGTCCAAAACCTTTGTAGGAACTCTTTTCCAACCTTTTGGAGTTAGTTAGACCAAAAAAAAAAAAGAAAAATGAAAAAAAAATATTTGGGGTGTTCAGGCTTCCTAAAAGTAATACCCGGGTATTAGGTTATGGGGCTATGGTAAGGTTTAAGGTTTTTGGCGTTAGGGTTAAAATCACCGTCCAAAACCTTTGTAGGAACTCTTTTTCAACCTTTTGGAGTTAGTTAGACCAAAAAAAAAATGAAAAATGAAAAAAAAAATATTTGGGGTTTACGGGCTTCCTGATTGTAATACCCAGGTATTAGGTTTTAAGGCTAGGGTAAGGTTTAAGTTTTTTGGCGTTAGGGTTAAAATCACTGTCCAAAACCTTTGTAGGAACTCTTTTCCAACCTTTTGGAGTTAGTTAGACCAAAAAAAAATGAAAAATGAAAAAACAATATTTGGGGTTTTCGGGGTTCCTGAATGTAATACCCGGGTATTAGATTTTAAGGCTAGGGTAAGGTTTAAGTTTTTTGGCATCAGGGTTAAAATCACTGTCCAAAACCTTTGTAGGAACTCTTTTCCAACCTTTTGGAGTTAGTTAGACCAAAAAGTATGAAAAAAGAAAAAAATATTATTGGGGGTTTTCGGGCTCCCTGAAAGTAATACCCGGGTATTAGGTTATGGGGCTATGGTAAGGTTTAAGTTTTTTGGCGTTAGGGTTAAAATCACTGTCCAAAACCTTTGTAGGAACTCTTTTCCAACCTTTTGGAGTTAGTTAGACCAAAAAAAAAAAAGAAAAATGAAAAAAAAATATTTGGGGTGTTCAGGCTTCCTAAAAGTAATACCCGGGTATTAGGTTATGGGGCTATGGTAAGGTTTAACGTTTTGGCGTTAGGTTTAAAATCACTGTCCAAAACCTTTGTAGGAACTCTTTTCCAACCTTTTGGAGTTAGTTAGACCAAAAAATATGAAAAAAGAAAAAAATATTATTGGGGGTTTTCGGGCTTCCTGAAAGTAATACCCGGGTATTAGGTTTTGGGGCTATGGTAAGGTTTAAGTTTTTTGGCGTTAGGGTTAAAATCACTGTCCAAAACCTTTGTAGGAACTCTTTTCCAACCTTTTGGAGTTAGTTAGACCAAAAAAAAAAGAAAAATGAAAAAAAAATATTTGGGGTGTTCGGGCTTCCTGAAAGTAATACCCGGGTATTAGGTTTTGGGGCTATGGTAAGGTTTAAGTTTTTTGGCGTTAGGGTTAAAATCACTGTCCAAAACCTTTGTAGGAACTCTTTTCCAACCTTTTGGAGTTAGTTAGACCAAAAAAAAAATGAAAAATGAAAAAAAAAATATTTGGGGTTTACGGGCTTCCTGATTGTAATACCCGGGTATTAGATTTTAAGGCCAGGGAAAGGTTTAAGTTTTTTGGCGTTAGGGTTAAAATCACTGTCCAAAACCTTTGTAGGAACTCTTTTCCAACCTTTTGGAGTTAGTTAGAACAAAAAAATATGAAAAAAGAAAAAAAAATATTATTGGGGGTTTTCGGGCTCCCTGAAAGTAATACCCGGGTATTAGGTTTTGGGGCTATGGTAAGGTTTAAGTTTTTTGGCGTTAGGGTTAAAATCACTGTCCAAAACCTTTGTAGGAACTCTTTTCCAACCTTTTGGAGTTAGTTAGACCAAAAAAAAATGAAAAATGAAAAAACAATATTTGGGGTTTTCGGGGTTCCTGAATGTAATACCCGGGTGTTAGATTTTAAGGCTAGGGTAAGGTTTAAGTTTTTTGGCGTTAGGGTTAAAATCACTGTCCAAAACCTTTGTAGGAACTCTTTTCCAACCTTTTGGAGTTAGTTACACCAACAAAAATGTAAAATGAAGAAAAAAATATTTGGGGTGTTCAGGCTTCCTGAAGGTAATACCCGGGTATTAGATTTCAAGGCTAGGGTAAGGTTTAAGGTTTTTGGCGTTAGGGTTAAAATCACTGTCCAAAACCTTTGTAGGAACTCTTTTCCAACCTTTTGGAGTTAGTTAGACCAAAAAATATGAAAAAAGAAAAAAATATTATTGGGGGTTTTTAGGCTCCCTGAATGTAATACCCATGTATTAGGTTTTGGGACTAGGGAAAGGTTTAAGGGTTTTGGCATTAGGGTTAAAATCACTGTCCAAAACCTTTGTAGGAACTCTTTTCCAACCTTTTGGAGTTAGTTAGACCAAAAAAAAAAAGAAAAATGAAAAAAAAATATTTGGGGTGTTCAGGCTTCCTAAAAGTAATACCCGGGTATTAGGTTATGGGGCTATGGTAAGGTTTAACGTTTTGGCGTTAGGTTTAAAATCACTGTCCAAAACCTTTGTAGGAACTCTTTTTCAACCTTTTGGAGTTAGTTAGACCAAAAAAAAAATGAAAAATGAAAAAAAAAATATTTGGGGTTTACGGGCTTCCTGATTGTAATACCCGGGTATTAGATTTTAAGGCCAGGGAAAGGTTTAAGTTTTTTGGCGTTAGGGTTAAAATCACTGTCCAAAACCTTTGTAGGAACTCTTTTCCAACCTTTTGGAGTTAGTTAGACCAAAAAGTATGAAAAAAGAAAAAAATATTATTGGGGTTTTTCGGGCTCCCTGAAAGTAATACCCGGGTATTAGGTTTTGGGGCTATGGTAAGGTTTAAGTTTTTTGGCGTTAGGGTTAAAATCACTGTCCAAAACCTTTGTAGGAACTCTTTTCCAACCTTTTGGAGTTAGTTAGACCAAAAAAAAATGAAAAATGAAAAAAACAATATTTGGGGTTTTCGGGGTTCCTGAATGTAATACCCGGGTATTAGATTTTAAGGCTAGGGTAAGGTTTAAGTTTTTTGGCGTTAGGGTTATAATCACTGTCCAAAACCTTTGTAGGAACTCTTTTCCAACCTTTTGGAGTTAGTTAGACCAAAAAAATGAAAAAAGAAAAAAATATTATTGGGGGTTTTCGGGCTCCCTGAAAGTAATACCCGGGTATTAGGTTTTGGGGCTATGGTAAGGTTTAAGTTTTTTGGCGTTAGGGTTAAAATCACTGTCCAAAACCTTTGTAGGAACTCTTTTCCAACCTTTTGGAGTTAGTTAGACCAAAAAAAAATGAAAAATTAAAAAACAATATTTGGGGTTTTCGGGGTTCCTGAATGTAATACCCGGGTATTAGGTTTTGGGGCTAGGGTAAGGTTTAAGTTTTTTGGCGTTAGGGTTAAAATCACTGTCCAAAACCTTTGTAGGAACTCTTTTCCAACCTTTTGGAGTTGGTTACACCAACAAAAATGTAAAATGAAGAAAAAAATATTTGGGGTGTTCAGGCTTCCTGAAGGTAATACCTGGGTATTAGATTTTAGGCTAGGGTAAGGTTTAAGGTTTTTGGCGTTAGGGTTAAAATCACTGTCCAAAACCTTTGTAGGAACTCTTTTCCAACCTTTTGGAGTTAGTTAGACCAAAAAAAAAAAGAAAAATGAAAAAAAAATATTTGGGGTGTTCAGGCTTCCTAAAAGTAATACCCGGGTATTAGGTTATGGGGCTATGGTAAGGTTTAAGGTTTTTGGCGTTAGGGTTAAAATCACTGTCCAAAACCTTTGTAGGAACTCTTTTCCAACCTTTTGGATTTAGTTAGACCAAAAAAAAATGAAAAATGAAAAAAAATATATTTGGGGTGTTCAGGCTTCCTAAAAGTAATACCCGGGTATTAGGTTATGGGGCTATGGTAAGGTTTAAGGTTTTTGGCGTTAGGGTTAAAATCACTGTCCAAAACCTTTGTAGGAACTCTTTTCCAACCTTTTGGAGTTAGTTAGACCAAAAAAAAAAAGAAAAATGAAAAAAAAAATATTTGGGGTTTACGGGCTTCCTGAATGTAATACCCGGGTATTAGATTTTAAGGCTAGGGAAAGGTTTAAGTTTTTGGCGTTAGGGTTAAAATCACTGTCCAAAACCTTTGTAGGAACTCTTTTCCAACCTTTTGGAGTTAGTTAGACCAAAAAGTATGAAAAAAGAAAAAAATATTATTGGGGGTTTTCAGGCTTCCTAAAAGTAATACCCGGGTATTAGGTTTTGGGGCTATGGTAAGGTTTAAGTTTTTTGGCGTTAGGGTTAAAATCACTGTCCAAAACCTTTGTAGGAACTCTTTTCCAACCTTTTGGAGTTAGTTAGACCAAAAAAAAAAAAAGAAAAATGAAAAAAAAATATTTGGGGTGTTCAGGCTTCCTAAAAGTAATACCCGGGTATTAGGTTATGGGGCTATGGTAAGGTTTAACGTTTTGGCGTTAGGTTTAAAATCACTGTCCAAAACCTTTGTAGGAACTCTTTTTCAACCTTTTGGAGTTAGTTAGACCAAAAAAAAAATGAAAAATGAAAAAAAAATATTTGGGGTTTACGGGCTTCCTGAATGTAATACCCGGGTATTAGATTTTAAGGCCAGGGAAAGGTTTAAGTTTTTTGGCGTTAGGGTTAAAATCACTGTCCAAAACCTTTGTAGGAACTCTTTTCCAACCTTTTGGAGTTAGTTAGACCAAAAAAAATGAAAAAAGAAAAAAATATTATTGGGGGTTTTCGGGCTTCCTGAAAGTAATACCCGGGTATTAGGTTTTGGGGCTATGGTAAGGTTTAAGTTTTTTGGCGTTAGGGTTAAAATCACTGTCCAAAACCTTTGTAGGAACTCTTTTCCAACCTTTTGGAGTTAGTTAGAACAAAAAATATGAAAAAAGAAAAAAATATTATTGGGGGTTTTCGGGCTCCCTGAAAGTAATACCCGGGTATTAGGTTTTGGGGCTATGGTAAGGTTTAAGTTTTTTGGCGTTAGGGTTAAAATCACTGTCCAAAACCTTTGTAGGAACTCTTTTCCAACCTTTTGGAGTTAGTTAGACCAAAAAAAAATGAAAAATGAAAAAACAATATTTGGGGTTTACGGGCTTCCTGAATGTAATACCCGGGTATTAGATTTTAAGGCTAGGGTAAGGTTTAAGTTTTTTGGCGTTAGGGTTAAAATCACTGTCCAAAACCTTTGTAGGAACTCTTTTCCAACCTTTTGGAGTTAGTTACACCAAAAAGTATGAAAAAAGAAAAAAATATTATTGGGGGTTTTCGGGCTCCCTGAAAGTAATACCCGGGTATTAGGTTTTGGGGCTAGGGTAAGGTTTAAGTTTTTTGGCGTTAGGGTTAAAATCACTGTCCAAAACCTTTGTAGGAACTCTTTTCCAACCTTTTGGAGTTGGTTACACCAACAAAAATGTAAAATGAAGAAAAAAATATTTGGGGTGTTCAGGCTTCCTGAAGGTAATACCCGGGTATTAGATTTCAAGGCTAGGGTAAGGTTTAAGGTTTTTGGCGTTAGGGTTAAAATCACTGTCCAAAACCTTTGTAGGAACTCTTTTCCAACCTTTTGGAGTTAGTTAGACCAAAAAATATGAAAAAAGAAAAAAATATTATTGGGGGTTTTTGGGCTCCCTGAAAGTAATACCCATGTATTAGGTTTTGGGACTAGGGAAAGGTTTAAGGGTTTTGGCATTAGGGTTAAAATCACTGTCCAAAACCTTTGTAGGAACTCTTTTCCAACCTTTTGGAGTTAGTTAGACCAAAAAAAAATGAAAAATGAAAAAAAAATATTTGGGGTGTTCAGGCTTCCTAAAAGTAATACCCGGGTATTAGGTTATGGGGCTATGGTAAGGTTTAAGGTTTTGGCGTTAGGTTTAAAATCACTGTCCAAAACCTTTGTAGGAACTCTTTTTCAACCTTTTGGAGTTAGTTAGACCAGAAAAAAAAATGAAAAATGAAAAAAAAAATATTTGGGGTTTTCGGGCTTCCTGAATGTAATACCCGGGTATTAGATTTTAAGGCCAGGGAAAGGTTTAAGGTTTTTGGCGTTAGGGTTGAAATCACTGTCCAAAACCTTTGTAGGAACTCTTTTTCAACCTTTTGGAGTTAGTTAGACCAAAAAAAAATGAAAAATTAAAAAAAATATATTTGGGGTGTTCAGGCTTCCTAAAAGTAATACCCGGGTATTAGGTTATGGGGCTATGGTAAGGTTTAACGTTTTGGCGTTAGGTTTAAAATCACTGTCCAAAACCTTTGTAGGAACTCTTTTCCAACCTTTTGGAGTTAGTTAGACCAAAAAGTATGAAAAAAGAAAAAAATAATATTGGGGGTTTTCGGGCTTCCTGAAAGTAATACCCATGTATTAGGTTTTGGGACTAGGGAAAGGTTTAAGGGTTTTGGCATTAGGGTTAAAATCACTGTCCAAAACCTTTGTAGGAACTCTTTTCCAACCTTTTGGAGTTAGTTAGACCAAAAAAATGAAAAATGAAAAAAAAAATATTTGGGGTTTACGGGCTTCCTGAATGTAATACCCGGGTATTAGATTTTAAGGCCAGGGAAAGGTTTAAGTTTTTTGGCGTTAGGGTTAAAATCACTGTCCAAAACCTTTGTAGGAACTCTTTTCCAACCTTTTGGAGTTAGTTAGACCAAAAAATATGAAAAAAGAAAAAAATATTATTGGGGGTTTTCGGGCTCCCTGAAAGTAATACCCGGGTATTAGGTTTTGGGGCTATGGTAAGGTTTAAGTTTTTTGGCGTTAGGGTTAAAATCACTGTCCAAAACCTTTGTAGGAACTCTTTTCCAACCTTTTGGAGTTAGTTAGACCAAAAAATATGAAAAAAGAAAAAAATATTATTGGGGGTTTTCGGGCTTCCTGAAGGTAATACCCAGGTATTAGGTTTTGGGACTGGGGAAAGGTTTAAGGTTTTTGGCATAAGGGTTAAAATCACTGTCCAAAACCTTTGTAGGAACTCTTTTCCAACCTTTTGGAGTTAGTTAGACCAAAAAAATATGAAAAATGAAAAAAAAATATTTGGGGTTTTCGGGCTTCCTGAATGTAATACCCGGGTATTAGATTTTAAGGCTAGGGTAAGGTTTAAGTTTTTTGGCGTTAGGGTTAAAATCACTGTCCAAAACCTTTGTAGGAACTCTTTTCCAACCTTTTGGAGTTAGTTAGACCAAAAAGTATGAAAAAAGAAAAAAATATTATTGGGGGTTTTCGGGCTCCCTGAAAGTAATACCCGGGTATTAGGTTTTGGGGCTATGGTAAGGTTTAAGTTTTTTGGCGTTAGGGTTAAAATCACTGTCCAAAACCTTTGTAGGAACTCTTTTCCAACCTTTTGGAGTTAGTTAGACCAAAAAAAAAAGAAAAATGAAAAAAAAATATTTGGGGTGTTCAGGCTTCCTAAAAGTAATACCCGGGTATTAGGTTATGGGGCTATGGTAAGGTTTAAGGTTTTTGGCGTTAGGGTTAAAATCACTGTCCAAAACCTTTGTAGGAACTCTTTTTCAACCTTTTGGAGTTAGTTAGACCAAAAAAAAATGAAAAATGAAAAAAAAAATATTTGGGGTTTACGGGCTTCCTGAATGTAATACCCGGGTATTAGATTTTAAGGCCAGGGTAAGGTTTAAGTTTTTTGGCGTTAGGGTTAAAATCACTGTCCAAAACCTTTGTAGGAACTCTTTTCCAACCTTTTGGAGTTAGTTAGACCAAAAAAAATGAAAAAAGAAAAAAATATTATTGGGGGTTTTCGGGCTCCCTGAAAGTAATACCCGGGTATTAGGTTTTGGGGCTAGGGTAAGGTTTAAGTTTTTTGGCGTTAGGGTTAAAATCACTGTCCAAAACCTTTGTAGGAACTCTTTTCCAACCTTTTGGAGTTAGTTAGACCAAAAAAAAATGAAAAATTAAAAAACAATATTTGGGGTTTTCGGGGTTCCTGAATGTAATACCCGGGTATTAGATTTTGAGGCTAGGGTAAGGTTTAAGTTTTTTGGCATTAGGGTTAAAATCACTGTCCAAAACCTTTGTAGGAACTCTTTTCCAACCTTTTGGAGTTGGTTAGACCAACAAAAATGTAAAATGAAGAAAAAAATATTTGGGGTGTTCAGGCTTCCTGAAGGTAATACCCGGGTATTAGATTTCAAGGCTAGGGTAAGGTTTAAGGTTTTTGGCGTTAGGGTTAAAATCACTGTCCAAAACCTTTGTAGGAACTCTTTTCCAACCTTTTGGAGTTAGTTAGACCAAAAAATATGAAAAAGAAAAAAATATTATTGGGGGTTTTTGGGCTCCCTGAAAGTAATACCCATGTATTAGGTTTTGGGACTAGGGAAAGGTTTAAGGGTTTTGGCATTAGGGTTAAAATCACTGTCCAAAACCTTTGTAGGAACTCTTTTTCAACCTTTTGGAGTTAGTTAGACCAAAAAAAAAATGAAAAATGAAAAAAAAAATATTTGGGGTTTACGGGCTTCCTGAATGTAATACCCGGGTATTAGATTTTAAGGCCAGGGAAAGGTTTAAGTTTTTTGGCGTTAGGGTTAAAATCACTGTCCAAAACCTTTGTAGGAACTCTTTTCCAACCTTTTGGAGTTAGTTAGACCAAAAAGTATGAAAAAAGAAAAAAATATTATTGGGGGTTTTCGGGCTCCCTGAAAGTAATACCCGGGTATTAGGTTTTGGGGCTATGGTAAGGTTTAAGTTTTTTGGCGTTAGGGTTAAAATCACTGTCCAAAACCTTTGTAGGAACTCTTTTCCAACCTTTTGGAGTTAGTTAGACCAAAAAAAAAAAAGAAAAATGAAAAAAAAATATTTGGGGTGTTCAGGCTTCCTAAAAGTAATACGTATTAGGTTATGGGGCTATGGTAAGGTTTAACGTTTTGGCGTTAGGTTTAAAATCACTGTCCAAAACCTTTGTAGGAACTCTTTTTCAACCTTTTGGAGTTAGTTAGACCAAAAAAAAAATGAAAAATGAAAAAAAAAATATTTGGGGTTTACGGGCTTCCTGAATGTAATACCCGGGTATTAGATTTTAAGGCTAGGGTAAGGTTTAAGTTTTTTGGCGTTAGGGTTAAAATCACTGTCCAAAACCTTTGTAGGAACTCTTTTCCAACCTTTTGGAGTTAGTTAGACCAAAAAATATGAAAAAAGAAAAAAATATTATTGGGGGTTTTCGGGCTTCCTGATTGTAATACCCGGGTATTAGATTTTAAGGCCAGGGAAAGGTTTAAGTTTTTTGGCGTTAGGGTTAAAATCACTGTCCAAAACCTTTGTAGGAACTCTTTTCCAACCTTTTGGAGTTAGTTAGACCAAAAAAAAATGAAAAAAGAAAAAAATATTATTGGGGGTTTTCGGGCTTCCTGAATGTAATACCCGGGTATTAGATTTTAAGGCTAGGGTAAGGTTTAAGTTTTTTGGCGTTAGGGTTAAAATCACTGTCCAAAACCTTTGTAGGAACTCTTTTCCAACCTTTTGGAGTTAGTTAGACCAAAAAATATGAAAAAAGAAAAAAATATTATTGGGGGTTTTTGGGCTCCCTGAAAGTAATACCCATGTATTAGGTTTTGGGACTAGGGAAAGGTTTAAGGGTTTTGGCATTAGGGTTAAAATCACTGTCCAAAACCTTTGTAGGAACTCTTTTCCAACCTTTTGGAGTTAGTTAGACCAAAAAAAAAAGAAAAATTAAAAAAAAATATTTGGGGTGTTCAGGCTTCCTAAAAGTAATACCCGGGTATTAGGTTATGGGGCTATGGTAAGGTTTAAGGTTTTGGCGTTAGGGTTTAAAATCACTGTCCAAAACCTTTGTAGGAACTCTTTAACAACCTTTTAGAGTTAGTTAGACCAAAAAAAAAAAAAGAAAAATGAAAAAAAAAATATTTGGGGTTTACGGGCTTCCTGAATGTAATACCCGGGTATTAGATTTTAAGGCCAGGGAAAGGTTTAAGTTTTTTGGCGTTAGGGTTAAAATCACTGTCCAAAACCTTTGTAGGAACTCTTTTCCAACCTTTTGGAGTTAGTTAGACCAAAAAATATGAAAAAAGAAAAAAATATTATTGGGGGTTTTCGGGCTCCCTGAAAGTAATACCCGGGTATTAGGTTTTGGGGCTATGGTAAGGTTTAAGTTTTTTGGCGTTAGGGTTAAAATCACTGTCCAAAACCTTTGTAGGAACTCTTTTCCAACCTTTTGGAGTTAATTAGACCAAAAAAAAAAGAACAAAGAAAAAAAAAATTGGGGGTTTTCGGGCTTCCTGAAGGTAATACCCGGGTATTTGGTTATGGGGCTATGGTTAGGATTAAGGTTTTTGGCGTTAGGGTTAAAATCACTGTCCAAAACCTTTGTAGGAACTCTGTTCCAACCTTTTTGAGTTATTTAGACCAAAAAAAAAATGAAAAATGAAAAAAAAATATTTCGGGTTTTCAGGCTTCCTGAAGGTAATACCCAGCTTTTAGGTCATGGGGCTATGGTAAGGTTTAAGGTTTTTGGCGTTAGGGTTAAAATCACCATCCAAAACCTTTGTAGAAACTCTTTTCCAACCTTTTGGAGTGAGTTAGACCAAAAAAAAAAGAAAAATTAAAAAAACATATTTGGGGTGTTCGGGCTTCCTGAAGGTAATACCCGGGTATTAGGTTATGGGGCTTTGGAAAGGTTTAAGGTTTTTGACGTTAGGGTTAAAATCACTGTCCAAAACCTTTGTAGGAACTCTTTTTGAACCTTTTGGAGTTAGTTAGACCAAAAAAAATAAAATTAAAAAATATATATTTGGGGTGTTCGGGCTTCCTGAAGGTAATACCCGGGTATTAGGTTATGGGGCTAGGGTAAGGTTTAAGGTTTTTGGCGTTGAGGGTAAAAATCACTGTCCAAAACCTTTGTAGGAACTCGTTTCCAACCTTTTGGAGTTAATTAGACCAAAAAAAAAAGAACAAAGAAAAAAAAAATTGGGGGTTTTCGGGCTTCCTGAAGGTAATACCCGGGTATTTGGTTATGGGGCTATGGTTAGGTTTAAGGTTTTTGGCGTTAGGGTTAAAATCACTGTCCAAAACCTTTGTAGGAACTCTGTTCCAACCTTTTTGAGTTATTTAGACCAAAAAAAAAAATGAAAAATGAAAAAAAAATATTTCGGGTTTTCAGGCTTCCTGAAGGTAATACCCAGCTATTAGGCCATGGGGCTATGGTAAGGTTTAAGGTTTTTGGCGTTAGGGTTAAAATCACCATCCAAAACCTTTGTAGAAACTCTTTTCCAACCTTTTGGAGTGAGTTAGACCAAAAAAAAAAGAAAAATTAAAAAAACATATTTGGGGTGTTCGGGCTTCCTGAAGGTAATACCCGGGTATTAGGTTATGGGGCTATGGTTAGGTTTAAGGTTTTTGGCGTTAGGGTTAAAATCACTGTCCAAAACCTTTGTAGGAACTCTTTTCCAAACTTTTGGAGTTAATTAGACCAAAAAAAAATTAAAAATAAAAAAAAATATTTGGGGTGTTCGGGCTTCCTGAAGGTATTACCCGGGTATTAGGTTTTGGGGCTAGGGTAAGGCTTAAAGTTCTTGGCGTTTGGGTTGAATCACTGTCCAAAACCTTTGTAGAAACTCGTTTCCAACCTTTTGGAGTTAGTTGGACCAAAAAAAAATGAAAAATGAAAAAAAAATATTTGGGTTGTTCGGGCTTCCTGAAGGTAATACCCGGGTATTAGGTTATGGGGCTAGGGTAAGGTTTAAGGTTTTTGGTGTTAGGGTTAAAATCACTGTCCAAATCTTTTTTAGGAACTTGTTTCAGAACTTTTGGAGTTGGTTACACCAAAAAAAAAATGGAAAAGGAAAAAAAAATATTTGGGGTGTTCAGGCTTCCTGAAGGTAATACCCAGGATTAGGTTTTGGGTCTAGGGTAAGGTTTAAGGTTTTTGGCGTTAGGATTAAAATCACTGTCCAAAACCTTTTTAGGAACATGTTTCAGACCTTTTGGAGTTGGTTACACAAAAAAAAATGTAAAATGAAAAAAAAAATATTTGGGGTGTTCGGGCTTCCTGAAGGTAATCCCCGGGTATTAGGTTATGGGGCTATGGTAAGGTTTAAGGTTTTTGGCGTAAGGGGTTAAAATCACTAACAAAACCTTTGTAGGAACTCTATTCAAACCTTTTGGAGTTAGACCAAAAAAAAAATGAAAATGAAAAAAAAATATTTGGGGTTTTCGGGCATCCTGAGGTTAATACCCGGGTATTAGGTTATGGGGCTAGGGTAAGGTTTAAGGTTTTTGGCGTGAGGGTAAAAATCACTGTCCAAAACCTTTGTAGGAACTCGTTTCCAACCTTTTGGAGTTAATTAGACCAAAAAAAAAAGAACAAAGAAAAAAAAAATTGGGGTTTTCGGGCTTCCTGAAGGTAATACCCGGGTATTTGGTTATGGGGCTATGGTTAGGTTTAAGGTTTTTGGCGTTAGGGTTAAAATCACTGTCCAAAACCTTTGTAGGAACTCTGTTCCAACCTTTTTGAGTTATTTAGACCAAAAAAAAAAAGAAAAAAGAAAAAAAAATATTTCGGGTTTTCAGGCTTCCTGAAGGTAATACCCAGGTATTAGGTCATGGGGCTATGGTAAGGTTTAAGGTTTTTGGCGTTAGGGTTAAAATCACCATCCAAAACCTTTGTAGAAACTCTTTTCCAACCTTTTGGAGTGAGTTAGACCAAAAAAAAAAGAAAAATTAAAAAAACATATTTGGGGTGTTCGGGCTTCCTGAAGGTAATACCCGGGTATTAGGTTATGGGGCTTTGGAAAGGTTTAAGGTTTTTGACGTTAGGGTTAAAATCACTGTCCAAAACCTTTGTAGGAACTCTTTTCGAACCTTTTGGAGTTAGTTAGACCAAAAAAAATAAAATTAAAAAATATATATTTGGGGTGTTCGGGCTTCCTGAAGGTTATTCCCGGGTATTAGGTTATGGGGCTATGGTTAGGTTTAAGGTTTTTGGCGTTAGGGTTAAAATCACTGTCCAAAACCTTTGTAGGAACTCTTTTCCGAACTTTTGGAGTTAATTAGACCAAAAAAAAAAAACGAAAAATGAAAAAAAAATATTTGGGGTCTTCGGGCTTCCTGAAGGTAATACCCGGGTATTAGGTTTTGGGGCTAGGGTAAGGTTTAAGGTTTTTGGCGTTAGGGTTAAAATCACTGTCCAAAACGTTTATAGGAACTCTTTTCCAACCTTTTGGAGTTAGCTGGAACAAAAAAAAAATGAAAAATGAAAAAAAAAATTGGGGGTTTTCAAGCTTCCTGAAGGTAATACCGGGTATTTGGTTATGAGGCTTTGGAAATGTTTAATGTTTTTGGCGTTAGGGTTAAAATCACTGTCCAAAACCTTTGTAGGAACTCTGTTCCAACCTTTTGGAGTTATTTAGACAAAAAAAAAAATGAAAAATGAAAAAAAAATATTTCGGGTTTTCAGGCTTCCTGAAGGTAATACCCAGCTATTAGGTCATGGGGCTATGGTAAGGTTTAAGGTTTTTGGCGTTAGGGTTAAAATCACCATCCAAAACCTTTGTAGAAACTCTTTTCCAACCTTTTGGAGTGAGTTAGACCAAAAAAAAAATGAAAAAGGAAAAAAAAATTGGGGGTTTTCGGGCTTCCTGATGGTAATACCCAGGTATTAGGTTATGGGGCTATGGTAAGGTTTAAGGTTTTTGGCGTTAGGGTTAAAATCACTGTCCAAAACCTTTGTAGGAACTCTTTTCCAACCTTTTGGAGTTAGTTAGACCAAAAAAAAAAGAAAAATGAAAAAAAAATATTTGGGGTGTTCGGGCTTCCTGAAGGTAATACCTGGGTATCAGGTTTTGGGGCTAGGTTAAGGTTTAAGGTTTTTGGCGTTAGGGTTAAAATCACTGTCCAAAACCTTTATAAGAACTCTTTTCCAACCTTTTGGATTTAGTTTGACTAAAAAAAAAATAAAAATAAAAAATATTTCGGGTCTTCGGGCTTCCTGAAAGTAATACCCGGGTATTAGGTTATGGGGCTAGGGTAAGGTTTAAGGTTTTTGGCGTGAGGGTTAAAATCATTGTCCAAAACCTTTGTAGGAACTCTTTTCCAACCTTTTGGAGTAACTTAGACCAAAAAAAAAAGAAAAAAGAAAAAAAAAATTTGGGGTTTTCAGGCGTCCTGAAGGCAATACCTGGGTATGAGGTTATGGGGCTTTGGAGGTTTAAGGTTTTTGGCATTAAGGTTAAAATCACTGTCCAAAACCTTTGTAGGAAATCTTTTCCAACCTTTTGGAGTCATTTAGACCAAAAAAAAAAAAGAAAAAAGAAAAAAAAATATTTGGGGTTTTCGGGCTTCCTGAAGGTAATACCCGGGGTATCAGGTTTTGGGGCTAGGGTAAGGTTTAAGTTTTTTGGCGTTAGGGTTAAAATCACTGTCCAAAACGTTTATAGGAACTCTTTTCCAACCTTTTGGAGTTAGCTGGAACAAAAAAAAAATGAAAAATGAAAAAAAAAATTGGGGGTTTTCGGGCTTCCTGAAGGTAATACCGGGTATTAGGTTATGGGGCTTTGGAAATGTTTAAGGTTTTTGGCGTTAGGGTTAAAATCACTGTCAAAAACCTTTGTAGGAACTCTTTTCCAACCTTTTGGAGTTAGTTAGACCAAAAAAAATATAAATAAAAAATATATATTTGGGGTGTTCGGGCTTCCTGAAGGTAATACCCGGGTATTAGGTTATGGGGCTATGGTGAGGTTTAAGGTTTTTGGCGTGAGGGTTAAAATCAGTGTCCAAAACCTATGTAGGAACTCTTTTCCAACCTTTTGGAGTTAGCTGGACCAAAAAAAAAAAGAAAAAAGAAAAAAAAAACTTTGGGGTTTTCAGGCTTCCTGAAGGCAATACAAGGGTATTAGGTTATGGGGCTAGGTTAAGGTTTAAGGTTTTTGGCGTTAGGGTTAAAATCACTGTCCAAAACCTTTGTAGGAACTCTGTTCCAACCTTTTGGAGTTATTTAGACAAAAAAAAAATGAAAAATGAAAAAAAAATATTTCGGGTTTTCAGGCTTCCTGAAGGTAATACCCAGCTATTAGGTCATGGGGCTATGGTAAGGTTTAAGGTTTTTGGCGTTAGGGTTAAAATCACCATCCAAAACCTTTGTAGAAACTCTTTTCCAACCTTTTGGAGTGAGTTAGACCAAAAAAAAAATGAAAAAGGAAAAAAAAATTGGGGGTTTTCGGGCTTCCTGATGGTAATACCCAGGTATTAGGTTATGGGGCTATGGTAAGGTTTAAGGTTTTTGGCGTTAGGGTTAAAATCACTGTCCAAAACCTTTGTAGGAACTCTTTTCCAACCTTTTGGAGTTAGTTAGACCAAAGAAAAAAGAAAAATGAAAAAAAAATATTTGGGGTGTTCGGGCTTCCTGAAGGTAATACCCGGGTATCAGGTTTTGGGGCTAAGTTAAGGTTTAAGGTTTTTGGCGTTAGGGTTAAAATCACTGTCCAAAACCTTTATAAGAACTCTTTTCCAACCTTTTGGATTTAGTTTGACTAAAAAAAAAAGAAAAATGAAAAAAAAATATTTCGGGTCTTCGGGCTTCCTGAAGGTAATACCCGGGTATTAGGTTTTGGGGCTTGGGTAAGGTTTAAGGTTTTTGGCGTTAGGGTTAAAATCACTGTCCAATATTTTTTAAGGAACATGTTTCAGACCACTTGGATTTAGTTAGACCAAAAAAAAATGAAAAATGAAAAAAAATATATTTGGGCTGTTTGGGCTTCCTGACGGTAATTCCCCTTAATTTTAATTTATCAAACACAGGATAAGATGTTAAATTCCTTTGTGCGAGCACATGCTTAAGAGTGATGAATGGTAGAACATCTTCTTGTCATCTTGGTGATGAATGATGGAGAATGGGAGCTGGATACGCATCATCAGTAGTGTAGCCTTGGTTCCTGGGATGTTTCGGCCTCTACACTATACACCCTCCCCAAGGTGGCCAGCTACAGGCTGATCAGACCTGTGCTTGCGTGAGTCCAGACTCGTCACAAGATAGATGGTACCTTCTCTCGTGGGACTATGCAAGGCAGGGGCGTCCTACTCCCTGAGTCAAGCCGAAGCTGACCGCATACCTGAGGGCTTGCTACTTCGGGGCCCAACAGGGGTCCTTCCGCCTCATGAAAAGCCACTGGCTGCTTCTTTCAGCTGCCTCCGATGTAGCTTTGATGGCTGAGCGCTGGTTCTGGCCTCTGACTCCCAGGTCAGCGAACAGTCTGGTGGTAGATCTTGCCACAAATCCTCTACATCCCACCTCCACTGGGCGGACTTCAGCACTCCAGCCACGGTGTTGTGCTTCAGCAGCGAGATCGGCGTAGCGTAGGTGTTTTCGCTCATACGCCTCATCCACTGCGTCCTCCCAGGGTACTGTGAGCTCGATGATGTACACCTTCTTTAGGGAAGGGGACCACAGCACCAGGTCAGGTCTCAGGGTGGTTGTAGCAATTTCTGGAGGAAAAACCAGCTGTCGGCCAATATCAGCCATCATCCTCCAGTCACGGGCTAGGCGTAGCTGGCCTCGCTCAGATGGTGTGGAGCAGCTTCTGGCTACCTTAGCCCCCTCATGGACAAAGGTAGTTGCCGGTTGTTGGTTGGATGCTGGTGGTGGTAGGGAGTTGGTGGCAGCTCGTTTGTCCTCTAGAGTGGATGCAAGGACCTTTAGGACCTGGTTGTGACGCCATGTATACCGTCCTTGGGTGAGACTGGTTTTACACCCTGTGAGAATGTGTCTGAGGGTGGCTGGCATGGAACATAGGGCACACCTCGGGTCTTCACCAAACCACTGGTGAAGGTTAACTGGTGATGGAAGGACGTCGTATATAGCTCTGATGGAAAAGCTCAGCTGTCTCGCTTCCATGGCCCACATGTCCTTCCAGTTGATCTTCCTCCTCTCCATGCTGTCCCATTTTGTCCACTGTCCCTGCTTGCCTAGAGACACTGCCTTGGCCCATCGTACAGCCTCCTCCTGGCGTCGTACCTCCTCCACCACCATCTTCCTCCGTTCTGTTGCTGTGGTCTTACTCCAAGCTGGGCGGGTGGCTGTTAGTCCAAGGCCTCCTCTTCCTTGCTGGACATGGCCCACAATGTCAGCATGTTTGAGGGCGGCAGTTGCCTCCTCCACTGCTTTGGTTGGTCTCCACTTGCGGCCAGTTGTTAGGGTTGGTGCATTGTTGCTCACCACTGTGTCTCTGGATTCATTCAGCGTCATCTGGAGTCTTGTTTTTGCGCACTTGAATTCCTCCGTAAGACTGGTGAGGGGCAATTTGAGGATGCTATCTCCGTAGAGGCCTATGTTGGTAAGGCATCGTGGAACACCAAGCCATTTCTTGATGTATCCTGTGACTGTTCTTTCCAGCTTCTCTACAGTTGAGATTGGTACCTCATAAACTGCCAGCGGCCACAGCATCCGGGGTAGGAGTCCAAACTGCCAGCACCAGGCTTCTAGCTTTCCAGGCAGTTGGGTGTTGTCAATGGACTGTAGGCCACTGCTGAAGTCCTTGCACAGTTGTTGCACTTGGTCTTTGTCCTTCAGAGTTGCATCATACCACCTGCCAAGGCTTTTTACAGGCTGCTCGGACACTGTTGGGATTGGGTCATCTCCGATGAAGAATTTCAGGTCAGAGAGCACTCCCTTTACAATTGAGATGCTTCGTGACTTGGATGGTTTGATCTTCATGCGGGCCCAACTGATGTTCTCTTCCAGCTTTCTGAGCAGCCTCCTGGTGCATGGAACAGTGGTTGTCAGCGTTGTGATGTCATCCATGTACGCTCTGAGCGGCGGGAGACGCGGACCGGAGCCAACCCGCTGACCACCTACAACCCACTTTGAGGCTCGGATAATGACCTCCATTGCCATCGTAAATGCCAGAGGTGAAATAGTGCATCCTGCCATGATCCCCATTTCTAGGCGCTGCCAAGAGGTGGTAAAGTCAGTGGTGTTGAAGCAGAACTGCACATCTTGGAAGTAGGATTTAACCAGGGCCGTGATGGAGTCTGGTATGTGGAAGAATTTGAAGGCAGACCACAGGAGTTCATGGGGCACTGAGCCAAAGGCATTGGCAAGGTCCAGAAAAACTACGTGGAGATCCCTTCTCTCTACCTTTGCCGTTTGAATCTGGTGCCAGATCATGCTGGAATGTTCTGAACACCCGGAGAATCCTGAGATTCCTGCCTTCTGTACAGATGTGTTGATGTACTCGTTTCTTCGCAGATACTCGCCCATCCTCTGTGCAATGACACTGAAGAAGATTTTGCCCTCAACATTTAATAGGGAGATTGGACGGAATTGGCTGATGTTCTCTGCATCTTTCTTTAAACTTGAGTTAATTGGCATTTGCTGAACTTGAGTTTGTGGCGTGTCTTGAACTTGAAATTGTGGCATTTGTTGAACCTGAGTTTGTGGTGTTTGTTGAACTTGAAGTTGTGGTATTTTTGAACTTGAGTTTGAGGCGTTTTTTGAACTTGTGTTTGTGGCATTTGTCTAACTTGAGTTTGTGGCGTTTTTTGAACTTGAGTTTTGAGCAATTGTTGAACTTGATTTAGGGGCGTTTGTAGAACTTAAGGTTGTGGCATTTTTTTGAACTTGAGTTTGTGGTGTTTGTGGTGTTTGTTGACCTTGAGTTTTTGGTGTTTGTTGAACTTGAAATCTTGGCATTTGTTGAACTTGAGTTTGTGGCATTTGTTGAACTTGAGTTTGTGGTGTTTGAAGCCATTGAAGTTGTGGCATTTTTTGAACTTGAGTTTCTGGCATGTTTAAACTTGAGTTTGTGGTGTTTGTTGAACTTGAGTTTTATGGAATTATATGTGTTCCAGTATCCTGAGAGAGCAATGAAAGATTTTGAGCGAGCAATGATAGATTTTGAGCACAGAAAAATATATTAAGCAAACAAATGCGAGCAATGATAGATTCTGAGCACAATGACAAATTTTGAGCACAGAAAAATATCGAGCAAAAAAAAATCTATTCTCTGCACCATTAATGTGTTTACATGACGCGCTCACTTCCCCCCTCCCTCTCTCGCTCAACATCTCACCCTCTGCACGCTCAGGTTTTTCCTCTTTTCGTGCTAGAGCACGACACAGGAGTGGATTTTCACTCCTGTCCCATCCCACTCCCAGAGAAAAAATCACGTCCCAAACCCGGACCGGAGTAAAAAAATTGATCCCGTCCTGTCTCACTCCCGTAGAATGAGTCCCACTCCCATCCTGTTCCCACTCAAAATTACTCCCACTCCTGTCCCGCTCCTGTTTGGATAAAACCAAACATGTTGAAAAAACATTGCATTTTTTATTTCAGATAAAAGTGCAGTGCATATAAAAAGCATTGCCTTTAAGTTCCACATGCCTGACATTCGGTTGGTGTAAACAAAGTGCATATATATATACACTCACCGGCCACTTTATTAGGTACACCATGCTAGTAACGGGTTGGACCCCCTTTTGCCTTCAGAACTGCCTCAATTCTTCGTGGCATAGATTCAACAAGGTGCTGGAAGCATTCCTCAGAGAGCTTGGTCCATATTGACATGATGGCATCACACAGTTGCCGCAGATTTGTCGGCTGCACATCCATGATGCGAATCTCCCGTTCCACCACATCCCAAAGATGCTCTATTGGATTGAGATCTGGTGACTGTGGAGGCCATTTGAGTACAGTGAACTCATTGTCATGTTCAAGAAACCAGTCTGAGATAAGACCAGCTTTATGACATGGCGCATTATCCTGCTGAAAGTAGCCATCAGAAGTTGGGTACATTGTGGTCATAAAGGGATGGACATGGTCAGCAACAATACTCAGCTAGGCTGTGGCGTTGCAACGATGCTCAATTGGTACCAAGGGGCCCAAAGAGTGCCAAGAAAATATTCCCCACACCATGACACCACCACCACCAGCCTGAACCGTTGATACAAGGCAGGATGGATCCATGCTTTCATGTTGTTGACGCCAAATTCTGACCCTACCATCCGAATGTCGCAGCAGAAATCGAGACTCATCAGACCAGGCAACGTTTTTCCAATCTTCTATTGTCCAATTTCGATGAGCTTGTGCAAATTGTAGCCTCAGTTTCCTGTTCTTAGCTGAAAGGAGTGGCACCCCGCGTGGTCTTCTGCTGCTGTAGCCCATCTGCCTCAAAGTTCGACGTACTGTGCGTTCCGAGATGCTCTTCTGCCTACCTTGGTTGTAACGGGTGGTTATTTGAGTCACTGTTGCCTTTCTATCAGCTCGAACCAGTCTGGCCATTCTCCTCTGACCTCTGGCATCAACAAGGCATTTCCGCCCACAGAACTGCTGCTCACTGGATATTTTTTCTTTTTCGGACCATTCTCTGTAAACCCTAGAGATGGTTGTGCGTGAAAATCCCAGTAGATCAGCAGTTTCTGAAATACTCAGACCAGCCCTTCTGGCACCAACAACCATGCCACGTTCAAAGTCACTCAAATCACCTTTCTTCCCCATACTGATGCTCGGTTTGAACTGCAGGAGATTGTCTTGACCATGTCTACATTCCTAAATGCACTAAGTTGCCGCCATGTGATTGGCTGATTAGAAATTAAGTGTTAACGAGCAGTTGGACAGGTGTACCTAATAAAGTGGTCGGTGAGTGTATAGAGAGAGAGAGAGAGTGGCGTTTCTAGAATAATTTACTCCCCGGGCAAGACCCCCTCCAAGCCGTCTGAGCTGCGCCTCTGAAATCCTGAGGGCCATTTTGAGAAGGGCCCCCAGATCCTGAGGTTTTCTAAACTGTTGAGGTGTACAAAAAAGCTGATATCTCAGCCTCTGTCGCAGATAGAAACAGAATTCAAAAAGTATTTCAGAGTTTACAGGTGTGGCTTTCAAGAAAGCTATCTATTATTTTTTTGGAACCTTCATCATATTTTTGAAAACATTGAAGAAACAAACTTAAATGAATTAAAATGGCTATATAAATAAAAGTAAAGACTCTGCACTGGAGAATAATAAACTATTTGCTTTCTGTAAAACAAGTGGCAGTCATGATAAAGTGTCCATTCAACACAAATGTAAATATAAGAAATAAAGTGTTGAAAGGGTATGCAGCTGCCCTAGTATAATGCCAGTACAAGACCAGGGGCCTCATGTATCAACACTTGCGTGGAACTCATACCAGAAACGAGCGCACGCAAGGTCCGTCACGCTGAAAAAAATCCGTATGTATCAATGTGTGCGGGCGCCGAAATCCACGTGTGTTTCCTTGATAAATCCCAATCAGCGTGGAATTGAGCGCAGATGTCGGAGTGACTGGGCCCGTCCCCGTTACGCCCTCCTATAAATATGCAGATTTATTTAAATAGGGTCTCCCTGTCCTCGCACGCAGACAAAATGACAAGAAAAACTACATTTACGGCGTGCGAGGTGGAGGAGCTGGTGGCGGAGGTGGAGGAGCGACAGCGTGTTTTGTTTGGCAGCCTGTCCAGTGGCGTCAGTGCAAAACAAAAACGCTTGGAGTGGGAGAAAGTTTGCAAGAGGGTGAACGCGGTGGGTTCCGAGACACGCACCCCCGCGTAGATTAAAAAAAAGTGGTCGGACCTCAAGGTGGAGGTCAAGCGGCGTAAAGCTGCCCTCCGGAGGAGTACCGGCCAGACAGATGGGGGTCCGGGGGAGGAGACCCTCACACCGTTTGAGCAGCGGGTGGTGGCGATTATTATTATAGGGTAAGTGGCGTGTCACACAAATGTCCACATGCTTTGTCATCCCACTGAGCAAAAGACGTATATTAGACGTCTAGTCTAAGTTTATACTTCATTTCAACGTCGGGATTCAGTCTATTTTTAGACGTGACTTATACTTCGCCCTTCACTTCATTTTTCGATAACTTTTTATGCAATAAACAACTGTAATGTGCATAACTGACCTCGAAATACTGGATTACATTACCTATGATACCGTGGAGAGAGATGTAAACGCAACAGATACACAGAAGCAGGAATTGAAATGAACTAATATTTTTATTGTGTCACAGAAATTAATGTGTCGGCCGTGTCGCCGGCTTGAGAAACCCTGGCCCGCGGCAGCCCGTCCGCCGGCTCGGAGTCGTCGGCCAGGACCAGCGGCATTCGGGCCACCCCGGCCCCCGGCCCCAGCACCAGCATCAGCACCAGCGCGCCGACAAGCGGTGGAGCGTCCACCAGCCGCGGCGCTTCCGCTGGACCACCCGGACGCAGTGGAAGGGTCCTCGCGGAGGGGGTCCTGCAATCGCAGGAAGAAATCATCAGGGGGATCGCGGGGATCAACGAGCGGCTGGACCGGCTCGTAAATTTCCTCGAGCGTCTGGTGGAGAAAATAAATTAATTTGGCTCATTGAACTGTGTATTCACTTCTTACCCATTCACACTGTGGCGATGAGATTCTCCCGCGCGAGGACGGCGGCCCGGCAGGGATCAGCTCGCATCCCTCCGTCTGCTGCTGGTTCGTCATGTGGGGCGACGTGCTGCCCGGCCACGGGGATGTGGTGCACGCTTATCACATAGTGAATCACCAAACACCGCCACACAGCGTCGCCAAAGTGCGAATCACAGTCAACGCAAATATCCAGCTCAACGCCAATTTCTACACCACCTCCTGACTTTGCGTTGATTAGCGCTGGAACCGACGCTCGTTTCGCGATGATAAATCTGGACGTGTGCGCCGATTTTGGCGTACGCAAGGTTTTCTTGCGCCGCAAGCGTTGATACATGAGGCCCCTGGACTTAAAACTAGAAAAATGAATAAATTCATACGTGTCTGACAGCGTGTTCATCTCTGTGCTCACCCAAAGTCATGCAGCACTCAGAGAAAACGCTGATAGTGTGAACCAAAGACCTCAATATGAAGAAGTTGTTCACACTGCTGGATGTTTCTCCTCCGAAGCTGCTCTCTGCCTCTGTCGTTGTTTACTTTACTCTTGGAGCACGTAGCAAGATCCGAGCATGAATCTGAGTGCTTTATTTGCCTATCAGAAGCAGACGGGTAAGGTGATTTGATTCGCCACAACTCCAGAAATGATTAAAGAACTACAGAATGTCACAAAATGACGTATCCGCGCTCCTGGCTTGAAGGGTACGAATGCGCAGCCGTGCTCCCGGCTGACAGGAAGTCAAACCACTGTAGTAGTTCTTTTGTGTTGCTAGCGCGGTCAAGAGGGTTGGCTCTCACTGAGAGATGACTACAAAAATGGATGCATCTGTTCATCTGGTTGTTTAACACGGCTGAAAATGATCATCTATAAATGTTGTTCCCGCTCCTGCCGTCTCCCGTTGCTTTTTTTCCCATCCCGTCCTGATCACGGGATTAATTAAAACATGACTCCCATCCCATGGGATTCCCGCAGTAATCACGTGACCCACAGGAAATGTCATCCTCTACTTTGCGCACAGCTTGGCACACACGTTACAATTGTGCCACAAAGCCAACTAATCAAAGAGCTGGCGGAAGTACACTCTGATTGGCTGTTCGCTCTCCCATTAGATTGCATTAAGTGCAGGGGGTTAAAAGATTACAATACAGTGCATACAGTGCATTCATTCATCCCTTAAAAACAGTCAAGTCCTGTAGTCATTAGATAATGTCAGGTAAACAACAACAACCACATGTAAGTAGTTTGTGTTGCCTTTGTTATAAACAAAGTGTCACAAAGCAGTGAGGGGTGTCTTGTCCTGGTTTTTCTTTCTTGTCATTTTCATGTTTTATTTTGAAAAATAACTCCCCTCTCGTTTCAGGTCTCTCGTGTTTCCGGTCTGACGTCTCCCCTGATTCCTGATTGTTTCCACCTATTCCCCATTAACCTCATGTGTCTTACAGTCAGCGTCTCCCTTTGTCCTGTGCCAGAGTGTCTCATTTATTCATGTTCCTCCAGCCTTCATGTCCACAGCCTTGCTCGATATCCTCGTTTGTATTTTTGATAATTCTTGTTTCCTCTTTAGAAGAGTGATTTTCTGTTGTAGTTTTTTCCCTGTTTAGTTTCTAGATCTAGCTTCTGTTTCATAGCCTTGTTGCTTTTTCCTCCCTTTTGGAGTGACTTTGTTTTCTTACAGTTTTTTCTAGCTTAGGAGTGCAGTGTAGTTAAGTTTGTAGCCTCTTTTTGTTTCCCTCCCTTTGGAGCGTTTTTTTATTCATAAATTGTCATAGTTATTCCTCTGAAGATCAGAGAAGATCAGCTTACTAATTTGTCCTCCCTTTTGGAGTGAATTTTTGTTCAGTCTTGGTTTGTTTTGTTTTTGTGTTCTGTCTGTTTGCCATTAGAATAGATAGAGAAGGTTTTCATAGCCTATTTATTTATCACTCTATCTACTGAGTAAAGAAGACGATTTTTAAAAAAAAAACCCTTTGTTGATCTTGGAACCTCTGTGTCTGAGTCCTCCCTCAAACCCAGGCCTGACACAAAGTGTGTTATAAAAATGAAAAAAAAGTTCTGTTTTTACGTTAGTTTGCAACCATAGTAAGTTTGCAAACTAGCCATTAGCTATTTTGGTTGGTACTCTGATGATGATGCCTTTGACTGGCCTACACCTATTATCTGACAGTCTCAGATCAAATTTTGTTAGCTGGTAACAGAGCCAGCTAAATTGGCGGCTAACAACCATTAGCCATGATTTTAAGGCCAGTCGGTAGTCTGATGTCTCATTACTTTCAGTAGGAAACATGTTAACGGTACATCCTGAATTGATTTAGGGTCAAGGTACAGTTGAGTCAGCAGCCAGAAACCTGGTGTCTATGCTATTCGACACTTTGGCTACAAACAGCTCAACCAGGCCCACAAGGCAGGAGACTAAGCAGCCTGCCCCAGCCCCTAGAAATGTAACTGTGCAGCAAGAAATGACAAGGTTTGTTATTCAAGCCACACAACGTCATTCTCATTTGCACTGGGGAAAAAACAGTGTTTTCTTGTTAGGTCTACGTCACTACTGCTAAGATGTGAAAATTCAAATGTGCATTTTGAATCACACTCAGACAGAAGTTTGGTTTGTGATTACACTGGAAAAACTATATACATGTCAGTTAGAAGTTGAATGCAACACTTACTAAACTCTTATTTATATTTCAATCCACAGATCGTTTTCGAGATATTTCAAGTCAAACTTAAATCGTGGTAAAAAAAAAAAAAAAAAAAAGGTGTTTGACTGCCACCAAAGCATGTTCTTAAGCTAAACAGTAAGGCAGCTGCTCTCAATTTTTATCTGCTACCAAAAAATACATCCCACACACCGTTGCCTGTTGAGGAGCTTGAACTCCTTCAGGCGAGCATGGGGAGACAAATGAAGAAGAAGAAGAAGAAGAAGAGGAAGAAGAACTTTATTGATCCCCGAAGGGAAATTCAATTGTCTGTTATCTCACGTAACCTGTCTATCAAAGTTATCTATTATTTACATAAGAGTCATAAAGCCTGATGGCTGTTGGTACAAAGGTCTTATAAATCTTTCTGTCCTGCAGCGAAGAGAGAGGAGCCATCCACCACCATTTGCCCTTTGGTCCATCAAGGTGCTGTGAAGAGGGTGATCCATGTTCTTGAGAATAGTCTCCACCTTCCTCAGTGTAAATCTTTCCACCACATCCTCCACTGACTCCAGCTTGAGTCCTACCACGGAGCAAGCCTTTTTCACCAGTTTGTTAAGACTTCTTGCATCTTTGTGTTTGATGTTTCCCCCCCAGCAGACTGCAGCGTAGAACAGACCACTTGCCACCACAGACTGATAAAACATCTGCATCGTCTTACTACAGACGTCTATTGATCGGAGTCTTCTCAGGCAAAAAAGGCGGCTCTGCCCCTTTCTGTAGATGTAGTCTATATTCTTAGACCAATCCAACTTATTATCCAGATGTACACCTAGGTATTTATATGATGTTACTACTTCAATGTCCACTCCACAGGTGTTCACTGGCTGAAGAGGGGGTTTGGATCTACAGAAGTCTATGACCATCTCCTTTGTCTTTGAGGTGTTGAGGAGGAGGCAGTTTTTGTGACTCCAGTCACTGAAGGCTCTTATTAGATCTCTGTATTCAGCTTCTTGTCCGTTTCTGATACATGCCACAATAGCGGTGTCATCTAAGTATTTCTGGATGTGGCAGGACTCAGTACTGTATTTGAAGTCTGACGTGTACAGTGTGAACAGGAATGGCGCCAGCACTGTCCCTTGTGGAGCCCCTGTACTGCTCATTGATGTCCCAGAAACACAGTTCCCCAGCCTGACAAACTGTGGCCTTCTTGTCAGGTAATCTGTGTTCCAGGAAACACAGGAAGGATCCACTCCTATCTCTGTGAGCTTGTCTTTGAGTATGGTGGGTTGGATGGTGTTGAGTGCAGTTGAAAAGTCGAAGAACATGATCCTCACATAAACTCTAGGTTCCTCCAGATGAGACAGGACACGGTGAAGCATGTAGGGGACAGCATCATCCACCCCAGTGTGTTCTTTGTATGCAAACTGCAGGGAGTCCAGTTTGTCTTTGACCTCAGACCTCAGAAGGCGTAGAATCAGCCGCTCCAGGGTTTTCATGATGTGTGAAGTGAGGGCCACTGGTCTGTAGTCATTGAGTTCAGCAGGACATTTTGTTTTTGGTACTGGCACAATGCAGGATGTTTTCCCCAGAGCAGGTACCCGCCCCAGCTGTAGACTCAGGCTGAAGATCTTGTGGAGAGGTTGACACAGTTCTGCAGCACAGTCTCTAAGCAGCCTTGGACACACACCATCTGGACGAGCTGTCTTCCCAGGATAAAGTCTTCCAAGCTCCATCCTCACCCCTGTTTCGGTGACAGACAAGGACTGGTGTTCTAGGAGGGAGTCAGTTGAAGTGGTTGAGACATTTGAACAAGATGAAGGAGGAAGGGGAGAAGTTGTAGTGGAGATTTGTTGCAGAGAGAAAGGTGGAGTAGCAGTGGAAGTGGGAGTGACAGCAGTGTCAAAGCTGTTGAAGAACAGGTTGAGTTCATTAGCTCTTTTCACATCTCCCACCACTGGCTGTCTTTTCTTTTGACTGCTGTGTCCAGAGATGGTACTGATTCCTCTCCACACTTTACGGATGTTGCTGTGTTGTAGATTATTCTCTATCTTCTTTTTGTACTCCAGCTTTTGCCATCTTCAGTCCATACTATCCGCATCTGTTTCCAGCAGCACATTCCAGTGTGTTGATTTAAAACAGTCCCTTAGAGCTTCACTGGCTTGAGCTGTCCATCTTCTTATTTTGACTTTGGTCACAGGCTGCCTCAGCACACAAGGTCTGTAACAGGTTTGTAGATAGACCAAGTTATGGACCAAGTTACCAGTGGTGGTAAGGCAGTGGCTCTGTAGGCTTCTTTGACGTTGGCATACAGAAGATCCAGGGTCTTGTTTTCTCTGGTAGGACAGTTCACAAACTGTGTGAATACAGTCAGGTGAGAGGAGAGGGTGACATGGTTGAAGTCTCCCAATCTTGTTATCGATGCCTCAGGGTGTTAAGTCTGTAGCCTGGCAACACTATTTTGCAAAACATTGCAACATTCCTCAGTTGATTTAAGTGGACTGTAAACAACTACTGTTATGATATGACTATATTCTCTGGGAACATAATGTGGCTGAAGAGCAACTGCCAACAGTTCAATATCTACAACAACACACAACTTCTCCTTGACAGTTATGTGTGAAGGGTTACACCATCTCTGGTTGACAAATAAAGTCAGACCTCCTCCTTTCTTCTTGCCACTAGCTTGAGCATCTCTGTCTGACCTTATGAGAGTGAAGCCAGGTAGATCCACACTGGAGTCCGAGTTGTTTTGATTCAACCAGGTTTCAGTAAAACACAGGAAACTGCACTCACAGAATGCTTTCTCAGTTTTCACCAAGATCTCCAGCTCATTGCTTTTGTTGGGCAGAGAGTTGACGTTTCCCATGATGATTGATGGAAGAAAGGGTTTATATCGCCACCTCCTAGCATTCAGCTTTGCCTTCACCTTTGGACCAGCACGGCAACCACGATAACACCTCCTGACGTCCTCTGGAATTGTTTTTGCCCAGATTTGCTTTTACTCAATGAAAGGAGCTCTTCTCTTGAGTAAACTCTTCGCCCAGCAGAAGTATCCATCAGCAGCCAACAAAATTACAACAAAATTATGAACAAAAATCTGGCATAAATTACAAAAATGACAGATAATACAGAGAGACCAGACTTGCAGCAACCTCTCGGTTCAAGCGCATCATTTTTGGTGAGCCTTCCTGAAGATGGTGACCACACAGAGGTACAGCTGTCAGTCCAGTTATTAAACTTATCTAGTAATTGTAGTTTATCTTAAGTTGTGTGCACTGTCACCCCCCCCCCCCCCTCTCTCCTTTATTATTAATAAAGATTTCCAGGCTCCTGGCTGACACATTTCCAAAAATGGAGGGTCTGTGTGGAGGGTGGCTCTTGCATAAGGTTACAGGTTTGTAAGATAAATATTATTTCAAGATTTCATATTTACTGATTATTACATCCCACTTACCCATTTTGGGGGTCTGTAAACCCTTATGATGCATTGATTACTTGCTGTTAGCATTAAAGATGTCTGACTAACTAAATGTTTTGGGTTTTTTTCTCAACAAAACAGATGATTTTTATTTAGTTTTTATTTAGTTTTATTTCTCTTTTTCTTAATTAAGGTGGGAGTGGTCGACGAAAACTCACTGTCATTCCACCAGAGGAAGAGGGATATACTACCAAAGCTCTGCCAGCTGCGTCAGCAGGCGGCAAAGCCACTTTTTACATAGTACCGCTTCAAGAGACATTGGACGCTTATCCTCTTCCTCCTGACTCAACTCACTTCTCAAAAATGGCAAAGACGGCATGTTACCAGTGTAATGAATTGATGCCTTTGCAGATGCTTGCACTGCACATTAAGACATGCAAGGGGAAACTGTCTGATGATGATGGTGATAATGATGATGAGGTGAGGGCAAATAATTTTTGTTTTAAAAAAATTACAATTAAATTTCATTTACTGTTCTGTAATTTTGCAGTCCTCTGATGGCACATGTGTTGTGGAGAACAAGTGTAAGGTAAATATAGCATATCATTAAAATCCTAGATCACTTTGGTTTGCTTTGCAACAGCTGTTTTTTTTTTTTTTTTACATGAAACAACTTTTTTTTTTTTAAATTTCAGGTGGTTTGTCCAATCTGCACCAAAGAATTCCCAGATGACGAGATCACAGTCCATGCTCGTCTATGTGGAGAGAGGTAATCTGCTTTGTCCTGCTGTTTGTATAATAAACATTTATAGATTAATGTCTATATATAATCTATATGACCTGAACAATGTCTGTGTATACTGTGTGTACAGTGTTTAGTGTTTGAGACAATTGTTTGCTGTACAGCTTTGAATGAACACTGACTTCTGCACCAAATGACAATAGTCCAAGTACAGCTGCTCACACTCCAGTATCCAAACCAAAAAGGTATGATGTATTAAGCTGTCCTTTGCATGTGTTTATTTTTAATAGCGCATACATGTTTTGCTCCATCATTTACACAGTCAACATGTTCTCAGTTAGACAAGAGCTAGCCATCACATACTTTCAAATTATTTTATTGTGTACAAATTTTGTTTGGGTATTTGGGACTGTATTATTATTTCTTCTGTTGTCTTCTGTAGTTTGTGATGTGTTTGAACTTGAGTTTGTGGCATTTGCTGAACTTGAGTTTGTGGCGTTTTTTAATAATAATAATACATTTTATTTGAAGCGCCTTTCACGTCACTCAAGGACACTTTACAGAACATATAAAAACAATAATAAAACACTATTAACAATTAAAATCATTAATCGTCAAACAGTTAAAATCAACAAAGCAACATTAAACATGAACAACAGCAAAGGAATAAATATAGAAATTAATAATACCAATTGAAATTTAATTTAAAAAAGTGGGTTAGGGGTGGTGGGAGGGATAGGCCAGTATAAACAGGTGTGTTTTGAGTTTGGACTTGAAGAGGGGGAGGGAGTCTATGTTGCGGATGTTTGATGGTAAAGAGTTCCAGAGTCGGGGGGCAGAGCGACTGAAAGCTCTGCCCCCCATAGTGCTGAGGTGAACAGGGGGCACAGAGAGGTGGAGAGAGGAAGAGGAACGGAGGTGGCGTGTTGGAGTGGCGATGTGGAGGAGGTCAGATAGGTAAGGAGGGGCGAGGTTGTGGATGGCTTTGAAGGTATACAGGAGGATTTTGAACTGGATTCGTAGAGGGACCGGGAGCCAGTGAAGCTGCTGAAGGATGGGGGTGATGTGGTGGGACGAAGGGGTTTTGGTGATGATACGGGCAGCGGAGTTGTGGACCAGTTGAAGTTTATGGAGAGACGTGTAAGGGAGACCGAAGAGGTGGGAGTTGCAGTAATCCAGACGGGAGGTGACGAGACTGTGGACGAGGATGGAGGTGGTGTTGGGGGAGAGGGAGGGGCGGAGACGATTGATGTGGCGGAGGTGGAAATAGGCAGTGCGAGTGGTAAGGCTGATGTGGGATTTAAAAGAAAGAGAACTGTCAAGGACGACACCCAGACTCTTGACCTGAGGTGAGGGGGAAACTGAGGAACTGTCGATGGGAAGGGAGAGACTGTCAACTTTGGATAGGGTGGATTTGGAACCTACAAGAAGAATTTCTGTTTTCTGACTGTTTAATTGGAGAAAGTTGGAGGTGAACCAGGATTTAATTTCAGATAGGCAGGTGATGAGGGAGGTGGGTGGGAGGGTGGAGTTTGGTGAGCTGGAGAGGTAGAGCTGGGTGTCGTCAGCATAGCAGTGGTATTGAATGTTGAATTTATGGAAGATGGAACAAAGGGGGAGGAGGTAGATGATGAACAGCAGGGGCCCCAGGACAGAGCCCTGGGGCACACCTGAACTGACTGGGGAGGGGTCGGACTTGAATGATTTGAGCTGGATGAACTGTGTGCGGTCTGAGAGGTAAGAGTGGAACCAGCGGAGGGGAGTGTGGGTGATGCCGATGGAGGAGAGTCTACGAAGGAGGATGGGATGGGAGATGGTGTCGAAGGCTGCACTAAGGTCGAGGAGGATGAGGATGGAAAGTGAACCGGAGTCAGATGCAGTGAGAAGGTCGTTAGTAATTTTTAGCAGTGCGGTTTCGGTGCTGTGGCGGGGGCGGAAACCAGATTGGAAGGGGTCGTAGAGGGAGTTCTGGGTTAGGTGGGTGTGAAGTTGGCTGGCGACGACCTTTTCCATTATTTTGGCTATAAACGGTAGATTTGAGATGGGGCGGAGGTTGCTGAAGTTATTGGGGTCAGAGCCAGGTTTTTTAAGGATAGGGGTGATGGCTGCTGTCTTGAGGGATGCGGGAACAGTTCCAGTGGTGAGTGAGGAGTGAATGATGGCAGATATGAGAGGGAGCACAGATGGGAGGCATGATTTGAGCAGTGTGGTGGGAAGGGGATCCAGCTGACAGGTTGAGGGTTTGGATTTCTGGATGAGATCATAGATTTCAGAGTCATTGGGGAGAAGAAAACTGGAGAAGGGCTGGTGGTGTGGCAGGGGAGTAGGTGAGTTTGGAGGGGGTCCAGGGGGAAGAGAACCTGAGTGTAGTTGTTTATGGATGTTGGAGATTTTGTCATTAAAAAACTGCATTAGGGTGTTGCAGGTGTCGGTTGAATACAGGTGGGGAGGGAGGGAGTCCGGTGGCTGGAGAGATTTGTTGAGGAGAGTGAATAGTGATCTGGTGTTTCCTTTGTTGGAGATGATCTGGGCGGAGTAGTGGTCTGTTTTTGCGTGAGAAATTGAGTCCTTGTAGCAGCGTATGTGGTTAATGTACATTTCTTTGTGAATGGAGAGTCCAGTTTTCTTGTAAAGTCTTTCCAGTTGGCGGCCTTTGGTTTTCATGGAGCGGAGGTGGGGGGTGTACCAGGGTGCAGTTGTGGAGAAGGAAACAGAGCGTGTTTTGAGTGGAGCGAGGGAATTGAGGATGCTATTTAAACAGGTGTTGTAATGAGATGTTATGTCATCAGGGGTAGTGTAACAGTCCGGGATCACAATATTCATAATCTTAGAGCGCAGAGTGTCAATGTTTATGTTCTTAAGGTTGCGGAATGTAATGAGGCGTGGTGAATAAACTCTAGAGAGGGAGAGCGGAATACTGAAGGAGATGAGGAGGTGGTCACTTACGTGGAGATCATCAGCTGTGCAGTTGGATGGGATGAGGCCAGAGTAGCAGAGTAAATCCAGAGTGTGTCCTTTAGTGTGTGTCGGGAAGTTGATGAATTGATGGAGTCCAAAACTGTCCAGGCAGGATGAGAAGTCTCTGGTGAGGGGGAGGTTGGTGTTGTCAATATGGATATTGAAGTCCCCCAGTATTATTATGTTTGGTGAGAGTGTGCATAGATGGGTGAGTAGAACCGAAAAGTCATTTAAGAAGTCAGAGTGAGGCTTGGGGGGGCGGTAGATGGTGGCGATGATGGTGGGAGTGGGTCCAGGGAGTGTAATTGCCAGAAGTTCATGTGAGGAGAAAAGAGGCAAGGACAGCGGTAGAACTTTCCACTTTTTGTGGTGGATGACGGCGATACCTCCACCACGGCTGTGGCTGCGGGGGTGGGAGAGGTAGGTGTAGTCCGGGGGGGTGGAGTCGTTGAGTGATGAGAAGTCATTTGGTTGTTGCCATGTTTCAGTGATGCACAGGAAGTCCAGCTTGCGGTCAGTGAGGAGATCGTGGATGATGTGTCCCTTGTTGGTGAGTGAGCGGATGTTGAGGAGTCCGAAGCTGACAGAGGTATTGTCATGTTTGGTGAGGATGGGAGCCAGTATGGATGGGCTTGTTAAAACAGAGTGATTGACAGTCCGGGTGGTGTATCTATTAGAGTGGTGTCTGTTGGTGATATGGACAGGAATAGTGAGAAGTTGGATACTACTGTAATTATTAGGGAGTGGGGAAAAAATGTCATGAAAACCTGTGGCAGAGGGAGTCGGTGACAGGATTTGCTAGCAGGGGGAGCTCTGGGGAGGACCTGTCAGCAGTGAGTGCACAACAGAGGGAGAGGGGTGTGTGTGAACTTGAACTTGTGGCATTTGTTGAACTTGAGTTTGTGGTGTTTCGTTGAACTTAAAGTTGTGGTGTTTGTTGAATTTTAGTTTGTGGGATTTTTTTTACTTGAGTCTGTGGCCTTTGTTAAACTTGAAGTTGTGGCAGTTGTTGAACTTGAGTTTGCTGTGTTTTTTTAACTTGAGTTTGGGGTGTTTGTTGAACTTGAGTTTGTGGCATTTTTTGAACTTGAGTTTGTAACTTTGACGATCTAACATGTGACAACATTTGAGCTCAGAGTTTTAGGACTGTGACTGTTGGTAGTTGTGATTTCATTTTGTTGAAATATGCCAAATTGTGAATTTATGGTATATTGTTGTTCAGACAATTGAGCTAAGCTAGCTAGCAACTGCTTATGTCAGCAGTCACTTGTTGCCATAGCAAACATTCACGTAGGGATTAATGAGCTGGAAATAGAGATGCAGAATCAAGCTATATTATAAACTATATATTATAGAAATAGGTGTGTGTGTGTGTGTGTGTGTGTGTGTGTGCTCTTGTGTGCTCTTGTGTGTGAACATAAACAAACTCTTGCTTTTGACAAGTTGTTTACACAGGTGCAACTGCAGCCAAAGCTGAAAATGTATTTTGCATGTAGTATATATGAAAATAATTCATTTTTTTCTGTTTGGCATCATTTCATCGTCATTTAAAGGGTTAAAATCTTCAGACAACAGGAGGGTTTTTTAAAATTTCAATTGTACTTTCGGTATAATAAGACTGGCAGTTCAACTTCAGGATAAAAAGAGTGACCTTTCAGCACCTATGTAACATCCTGTGGCCTAGTTTGACACACCAGAGTACAAGATACAGACACCCTGTCCCTGTAGATCTTCGGGTGGCAATATGTCTGTGGCGTTTGGCAACCAATCTTGAATACACATCTATCTCTCAATTGTTCGGTGTTGGTATGTCCACTGCTTGTCAAATTACTCAAGAGGTTGTGACAGCCATAAACAAGGAAATGAAACACCACTACCTCAAGACCCCATCTGATGTGGAGCTAAGGTTGATTGTCCAGGGCTACAGAGATAAATGGAGGTTCCCACAGGTTGCAGGAGCAACAGACGGGACCCACATCGGCATCCTGGCACCAGCAGATCACCCTGCAGATTATTACAACAGGAAAGGATTCTACTCGATCCTGTTGCAGGGTGTAGTTGACCACAGACTGAAATTTTGGAACATCAATGTTGGCTGGCCAGGTAAAGTCCACGATGCCAGAGTTTTTGCAAACTCTTCTCTGGATCGTCGGGGTCAGAGTGGCACGTTGTTTCCAGGGTGGACTGAAGAATTTGAAGGTGTGGATGTGCCCCTGGTTATTCTTGCCAATGCGGCATACCCACTTCTGCTTTGGCTGCTGAAGCATTTTTCCGGAGGGGAGAGGTGTCACACCAGCTGAAACTCAGTTCAATCATCGACTCAGTCAGACAAGGATGACTGTAGAGAGAGCCTTCGGATGGCTGAAGGGTAGATGGAGATGTCTCCTCAAAAGGTGTGATGGGCACATTACACTGGTCAGCCATATTATCGCAGCCTGCTGTGTTTTACATAATGTCAGAATAATGTGCATAAATGTATATAGAAGTTTTCATTTTTACTCATCTTCTTATGTAAGAGTTTACTACAAGTATGAACTGTTTTGACCTCTTGTTGCACATCAAATAAGAGTGTTTTCTAACTTCTCTTTCCAATAGCTTTATTACACAGCACATAAGTGTTTCTTAACTTCTCTGTGACCTAGTTTCTCCTATCAGCAGGTGTGTGTGTGATGTAACCTCCACTGTGAATTGTGGGAAGAAATGAGGAAGATCCGCTCCTATCAGAAGGAGCTCGTTTAATGTCAACAATGTCGTCTTGACCCTCACATATTTTCTGTGTTCATTATTATGTTTTATGAGAGTGCTTACGTTGCTGCACATATTTTTTCCCCCATCCTTTGGTAACATTGTTTAACCATGGACAACCCTAAATATAAGAGACTGGAAAGAAATACCTTCAGAATGGTTTTGAGATTGCAACTGAAACTATCTCTGTCCATTCTCCTCAAGTAAGAAACCATTGTCTTTCTCTTCTTTATATGTATTCAGTCATTTGTTGCAGGTTTTAGACCCAACACATAACTATTGTGAAATGCACAACAAGCAATGGGAAGACGTGGATCCTGAAGATAATGGACAGGCTGGTGATGACAATCTCACTCAGGCCAAAGATGATGGACAGGCTGGTGATGATAATCTCCATCAGGCCCAATATGGTTGCCATATCAGAGACGCACTGTGTGCCTATTTTTCACACTGACAAGCTTTTGTTGTTTTCTCCTGTTTTAATTGCTCTAAACTGGATGAAAGTGTCTGATAATTGAAATTGTTTTTTATATGTTTTTTCACAGCAGCAATTACAGCAAAAATGTTAAGAGTACGAGTTTTTTAATTTTTGATTTGTAGAACAGGATTTGTTCACCTGTAATTTCAGAAGGTGCTACAACTTCCTCTGCATGGAAGAGATTGACTTTCACTCTCTGTCTAAGAAGGATGTGGCTGATTTAGAATCCTGTGTACTCATCAGCAGGGTGAGTGCTCTTAGGCATTGTGAAATAATAAATATTTCTCTAATGTTATTACCTATTGCATTATTTGCTTCATCGCTACATTGCACATTTCAGGTTGAAAATTCCACAGATGTCCAGTCTCTGATGATGTATGCTGATGAAATTATTAGCTGTGGATACAGCAGCCAGATCAAACTGGACAGCAAGGAAAACATCATTTGGTAAGTGTTTTAAAACAATATTAACATTTTATTTGAATTTTAATTAATTTTGACAACACCTTAACACATTTCTCACAGTGATACATACGTATTGACAGTCAATTAAAAAGAAGAAAATACACAAAAGCAACAATATTATCAATTTAAATACTTTTTATAAAAATAAAAAAAAACAATTTCAAACCAGTATTGTTTTTTTTTCTGTGCTTTTCTTCAAAGAGCAATTGTTCTACATTCTACAACAAGATTGATTCCAATGCTGCAGCAACTGAGAAAGGGAATGGAACTGTATGGCCTGGTGAACCTGATGGCATCAAACCCCGCAGCTTGCCACTCCTTGTTTGTTCCTGGGAAGATCAGCAAAGTAAACTTTTATATCAGTTCTTTTTTTTAACTTTTTTTTTTCTTAAACACTTTATTTGTAATTTTCCAATTATCATATAAAACGATCATTATTTTACAATCGTTTTACAAATAACTATAGAAAAACAATCCTAAAGTAAAAATTTTAACTGCCACTTATTTTGTTCTTACATAGCCTACATTGTTGTTCTGTAGTGCAATTTCCATTTTGTATGTCATTAATAGCCTGAGTTTGTACACTTAAAGATATTTAGCCAAATCTACATTCACTCTTTATAGCCTGATGCTGATTCCATGATGATGAACTGCCAGCCACATTACAGTGAAAAGGGGACATCTAAGGAAAGAGCTGAGAGGAAAGTGATCAACTTCCTCCAAGATTTCTTAGAAGAGCTTGAAATGCTATTAATGTTCATGTTCTAATGTCAGACACCTTGTGCAAGAACTGTATGTACAAGTCACAACCATGTGACTGAGAATGTCCCAGAGGATCAATAGTTCTCTGAAGTTCCTCCAGGGCGTCATCATCCAGTGGGCATGCGATGTCAGGAACCACATCTGCTCCATTTGAGTCCTCTTGCAGTACGACACTCTCCCAGTCAATGTCTGGGTCTTGAATTTCCTACAGATCCAGAAAGACAAAAAAAAAAAAAAAAAAAAAAAACAATGACTCAAGACTGTTATGAAAATATTGCACTGCTGTAGGCAAAGGCATTATGGTTTGTTAGAGAAAATTATCTGCGCCATCTACACAAATCATGACAAGCTCATCATAAGACATAACCATGTTGTTAGGATAGATATTCGCCAGTGTGTTCCACAGTCCAACTGCTTCTGGTAGTAATCTGTCAGAAAACAAGATCGCTATCAGCTTGCCACGCATTTTTACAATTCATGTTTTATGTCTTATGTGAACTGTTCTTTTATAATGTTATACCTCAAGTCTTTTCCTTTCATCCAGATCTTGTTGATGTCCCATACACCACAGCTGTTCTAGAGTGAGACCTCCTTCTGTCCGTAGAGTATGTTTATTCCATCCTCTGATGAAGGTGTCAAGATTGGCCAGGAGTCGAGAGACAAAGATGTAGTGCACACCAAAGAGGTGTACCACATCATCACATATAATGTAAACCCAGACAAGGCAGCCCTAATGTTATATCACTAAAGTACAAAAACTAACAAGGTACTTCTATAACATGAGACAATAATCATAATAATAATAATAATAATAAATACTGCCCGTACATTGTATCCAACGAAGTCCTCCCTCTCCCGTCCAAGTCTGTCTGATGCGATCTCCTTTGCTTTTTCTGGGTGAATGTAACTAGCGATCTAATTGGAGAACAAACAGCCAATCAGAGTGTACTTCCGCCAGTTCTTGGATTGGTTGGCTTTGTGGCACAGTGTAACGTGTGTGTCAAGCTGAGCGCGCAGAGAGGACACACCCGAGCGCGCAGAGGGCGAGAGGTTGAGTGAGAGAGGGAGGGGGAAGTGAGCGCGTAAAACTAAAATGCAAAAGCATTTATGGTTTACAGAATTGATTTTTTTTTTTTTTGCTCAATATATTTTTCTGTGTCATAACCCGGCTCTTAAGCCATGACATATATGGAAACGGACGCAGTGTAGGGCGGAAAGTGATGATTTATTTTACCAAAGTGAAGACTTAAACAATAATTTGTAAATATGGAGTGTGTTAGTCAGTGATATCAGTCATGTAAGTGTGGATGTGTGAGTAATGAAGTGTAGGGTGTTGTGGGGTGAAAATAAACCAAAGTCAAACCGAAGCAAAAAGCCTGCAACAGCAGGCCTGTGGCAGGGTCAGAGGAAGAGAGCGAGCCGCACTGGAGAAGGGCCTTTTATGCTCTGTGGCAGCATTAGGCACAGGTGCTTCAATTGTCTGCCACACCCACTCTCTCCCAGGTAGCCCTGCAGGGAAAACATGAAATGGCTCCACCAGGATTAGTCCACCAGACCCCAGTTAGGCAGGGCCGTCACATCTGTGCTCAAAATGTGTCATTATGTGCTCAGAATCTATCATTGCTCGCTTTTGTTTGCTCAATGTATTTTTCTGTGCTCAAAATCTATCATTGCTCGATCAAAATCTTTCATTGCTCACTCAGGATACTGGTACAAAAATAAATCCATAGAGTTTGTGGTGTTTGTTGAACTTGAGTTTGTGGCATTTGCTTAACTTGAAGTTGTGGCATTTGTTGGACTTGAATTTGTGGCATTTTTTGAACTTGAAGTTGTGGTGTCGTCAAATTTGAGTTTGTGGCAATTGTTGAACTTAAGTTTGTGGCATTTTTTGAACTTGATTTTGTGGTGTTTGTTGAACTTGAGTTTGTGGTGTTTGCTGAACTTGAGTTTGTGGCATTCCTTGAACATGTGTTTGTGGTGTTTGTTGAACTTGAGTTAGTGGTGTTTTTTGAACCTGAGTCTATGGCCTTTGTTGACTTTGTGGCATTTGTTAATCTTGAGTTTGCTGTGTTTATTGAACTTGAGTTTGTGCTGTTTGTTGAACTTGAATGTGTGGCAATTTTTAAACTTAAGTTTATGGCCTTTGTTAAAGTTGATGTTGTGGCGTTTGTTGAACTTGGGTTTGTGGCGTTTGTTGAACTTGAACTTGTGGCATTTGTTGAACTTCAGTTTGTGGTGTTTCATTGAACTTGAAGTTGTGGCATTTGTTGAACTTGAGTCAGTGGCCTTTGTTGACTTTGTGGCATTTGTTCATCTTGAGTTTGAGGCGCTTGTTGATGCTGAGTTTGTGGTGTTTATTGAACTTGAGTTTGTATTGTTTGTTGATCTTTAGTTTGTGGCATTTGTTGAACTTGAGCTCTTGGCATTTGTTGAACTTGAACTTGTGGCATGTGTTGAACTAGAGTTTGTGGTGTTTGTTGAACCCGAGTTTGTGGCGTTTGTTGATCTTTAGTTTGTGGCATTTGTTGAACCTGAGTTTGTCGTGTTTGTTGAACTTGAGGTCATGGCCTTTCTTGAACTTGAGTTTGTGGCGTTTGTTGAATTTGAGTTTGTGGTATTTGTTGAACTGGAATATGTTCCTTTTTTTGAATTTGAGTTTGTGACATTTGTTTAACTTGAGTTTGCGGTATTTGTTGAACTTTAAATTTTTGGCATTTGTTAAACTTGACTTTGTTATGTTTGTTGAACTTGAGTTTTGGTGTTTTGTAAACTTGAGTTTTTGGCAATTGTTTAACTTGAGGTTTTGGTGTTTGTTGAACTTGAGTTTGTGGTGTTTTTGAACTTGAGTTTGTGGTGTTTGTTGAACTTGAGTTTGTGGCGTTATTGATCTTTAGTTTGTGGCATTTGTTGAACTTGAGTTCTTGGCATTTGTAGAACTTAAACTTGTGGCATGTGTTGAACTAGAGTTTGTGGCATTTGTTAAACTTGAGTTTGTGGTGTGTGTTGAATTGAATTCTTGGCGATTGTTGAACTTGATCTTGTGGGATTTGTTGAACTTGTGTGTGTGGCGTTTTTTGAACTTGAATTTGCTGTGTTTTTTGAACTTGAGTTTGTGACAATTGCTGAACTTGAGGTTTTGTTGTTTGTTGTACTTGAGTTTGTGGTGTTTGCTGAACTTGAGTTTTTGGCGTTTGTTGAACTTGAATTTGTGGCATTTGTGAATTTGAGTTTGGTCTGTTTTTTTAACTTGAGTTTGTGGTGTTAGTTAAACTTGAGTTTTTGCCATTTTTGAACCGTATTTTTTGGTGTTAATTCAACTTAAGTTTGAGGCGTTTGTTGAACTTGAAGGTGTGGCATTTGTTGAACTTGAAGGTGTGGCATTTGTTGAACTTAAGTTTGTGTTTTTTGTTGAACCTGAGTTTGTGGTGTTTGTTTAACTTAAGTCTGTGGTGTTTTCTGAACATGAGTTTGTGTTTTTAATTGAACCTGAGTTTGTGGCGTTCGTTGAACTTGAGTTTGTGGCAATTGTTGAACTTGAGTCTGTTGTGTTTGTTGAACTTGAATTTGTTTCTTTTTTGAATTTGAGTTTGTGACATTTGTTTAACTTGAGTTTGTGGTGTTTGTTTATCTTGAGTTTGTGGTGTTTGTTGAACTTGAGTACATGGCCTTTGTTGAACTTGAAGTTCTGGTTTTTGTTGAACTTGTGTTTGTGCTGTTTTTTGAACTTGAAGTTTGCCATGTTTCTTGACTTTGAACTTGTGGTGTCTTTTGACCTTGAGTTTGTGGCAATTGTTGAACTGGAGTTTATAGGGTTTGTTGAACTTGAGTTTGTGGCGTTTGTTGAACTTGAGTATGTGGTGTTTATTGAACTTGAGTTTGTGGCGTTTGTTGAACCTGAGTTTGTAGTCTTTGCTGAACTTGATTTTTTGGCAATTGATGGACTTCAGTTAGTGGGGTTTGTCGAACTTGAGGTTGTGGCAATTGTTGAACTTAAGTTGTAGCATTTCTCTGAACTTTATATTTTGGTATTTTTTGAACTTGACTTTATGTTTTTTGAACTTGAGTTGTGGTGTTTTTTAAACTTGAGTTAATGGCATTTTTTGAACTTGAGTATGTGGCATTTGTTGAACTTGAGTTCTTGGCAATTGTTGAACTTGAGATTGTGGCATTTGTTGAACTTGAGTTTTTTGTGTTTGTTGAACTTGAGTTTGTGGCATTTGTTGAACTTGAGTTTGTCGTGTTTGTTGATGTTAAGTTTGTGGTGTTTGTTGATCTTAAGTTTGTGGTGTTTGTTGAACTTAAGTTTCTGGTGTTTGTTGATCTTAAGTTTGTGGTGTTTGTTGAACTTAAGTTTCTGGTGTTTGTTGAACTTGAAGTTGTGGTGTTTGTTAGACTTGAGTTAATGGCATTTTTTGAACTTCAGTATGTGGCCTTTGTTGAACTTGAGTTTGTGGCATTTGTTGAACTTGAAGTTGTGGCATTTGTCGAACTTGAGATTTTAGGAATTGTTCAACTTGAGTTTTTGGTGTTTGCTGAACTTGAGTTTGTGGTGTTTTCTGAACTTGAGTCTGTTGTGTTAGCTGAACTTGAAGTTGTGGTGTTTGTTAGACTTGAGTTAATGGCATTTTTTGAACTTCAATACGTTGCCTTTGTTGAACTTGAGTTTGTGGCATTTGTTGAACTTAAGGTTGTGGCATTTGTTGAACTTGAGTTTGTGTGTTGAACTTGAGATTGTGGTGTTTGCTGAACTTGAGTGTGTGGCGTTTTTTGAACTTGAATTTGCTGTGTTTTTTGAACTTGAGTTTGTGGCAATTGTTGAACTTGAGGTTTTGTTGTTTGTTGAACTTAACACTAGAAGGACCACAGAGCAGCCATTTGGCTTTACCCCCTTCAAGGACCACGGGGCAGCCAATCGGCTGGAAGGCTTTTAGCTAATATCCTAAATCACCTGTGAACACTCATTTTGTTATGCAAACGAGGCGATCGTTGGTGCACCACAGGAGGGGACTGGACTATTGTAGTCCCTCTGTCTAGATGATTGTGGAATTTCCCGGCGAATCTTGTTGACTGTGCCTAGGATGGTGGTTTTCCGCCTGAGCAGTGGTTGCACAAGTGACAGCAATGTGAAGAAATTGTCCGTGGTTCCATTCCTGCGCTTGTCCAGGAATGGTTCCATCAGCCTCAAAACTACGTTCTCGGACAGTCTCTCCCCACTCGGACGACTGGGGTCCTTGCCAAGATATGGGAGGACATTGCAGATGTACTTGGATTTCAAGTCACAAGCCACCCAAAACTTGATCCCAAACTTGTCGGGTTTTGTTGCAACGTACTGCAGGAAACAGCAGCGGGTCTTTGACAGGAAAAGCTGTCCAGCAATGGTGATGTGTCGACCAGGGTTGTAGGATGTGATGCAGTTGGTGACAAATGACGACCACATGGCAGAAATTGCAGCAAACTTGTCAGTCTTTGTGCGCTCACTGCGGGTGTCCCTATCATCAAAGCGTAAGTGTCGCATGATGTCTTTGAAGCGATTTCGGGACATGGTTGCAATGATCTGGGGGTAACCCAGGTTTACTGACCAGCAGTCACTCATTGATGGAACCTTGGTCAGCCCCCGCGAGATGATGATAGCAATAAATGCCATTAGTTCAGGGAGGGCCATGAACCAATCAACATACTCTGTTTGCTTTGTATGTTGAACAGTACAGTCTTGAATAGAACCAAGCATGTCCAGTGTGATGAAACACAGGAAGCTCTGAAGACGAGTCAAGCTGGACCTCCTGGCCTTAGCCATTGGTTTTCCATCTGCTGAGGTGCAGGGACATCAGGAGAAGTAGAATCAAACAAAACAAACAGAGGCCCAAACTGTCTGTGCAGTGGCTATGGCTGAAGCAGTTTCTGTCTACAGTTGTTCTCAGGTTGGAAACTCCCCTCCCCCTCCCCACTGCCTCTCCCAACAACACAAGTTTTCTTGAAGTAACTCAGCATATCCCCTCCTGTGGTGCGCCAGCGATTGCCTCGTTTGCATAACAAACTGAGTGTTCACAGGTGATTTAGTACTGGCTAAAAGCCCTCCAAGCCGATCGGCTGCCCTTTGGTCTTTCTAGGTAGAACAGCAAAAGCTGGTCCTTCTAGTGTTAAGTATGTGGCATATTTTTAAATTGGTTTTGTGGTGTTTGTTGTACTTTAGTTTGTGGTGTCAGCTGAACTTAAGTTTTTGGCATTTGTTGAACTTGAATTTGTGGCATTTGTGAATTTGAGTTTGCTCTCTTTTTTGAACTTGAGCTTGTGGTGTTAGTTAAACTTGAGTTTTTGCCATTTTTGAACCTTATTTTTTGGTGTTAATTCAACTTGAGTTTGAGGCGTTTGTTGAACTTGAAGGTGTGGCATTTGTTGAACCTGAGTTTGTGGTGTTTGTTGAACTTGAGTCTGTGGTGTTTTCTGAACTTGAGTTTGTTTCTTTTTTTGAATTTGAGTTTGTTGCATTTGTTAAACTTGAGTTTGTGGTGTTTGTTGATCTTGAGTTTGTGGCATTTGTTGAATTTGAAGTAATGGATATTGTTGAACTTGAATTTTTTTAGTGAGTATGTGTCTTTTGCTGATCTTGACTTTATGGCCATTGTTGAAATTATGATTTCTGGCGTTTGTTGCACTTAAGTTTGTGGTGTTCGATGAACTTGAGTGTGTGGCATTTTTTGAACTTGAGTTTGTGGCAATTGCTGAACTCGAGTTTTTGGCATTTGTTGAACTTATGTTTTAGGTGTTTGTTTGACTTGAGTTTGTGGTGTTTGCTGAACTTGAGTTTGTGGTGTTTGCTGAACTTGAGTTTCTGGCATTTGTTAAACTTGAGGTTGTGGCATTTGTTGAACTTCAGTTTGTGGTGTTTGCTGAACTTGAGTTTTTTGCAACTGTTGAACCTGAACTTATGGCATTTGTGAATTTGAGTTTGCTCTGTTTTTTGAACTTGAGGTTGTGGTGTTTGTGAAACTTGAATTTTTTGCCATTTTTGAACTTTAGTTTGTGGCGTTTGTTGAACTTGAGTTTGTTGTGTTTGTTAACTTCTTCTACCCTAAGCACATTTTAAGGGGAAAAAAACGCCTAAAAGACATACCCAAAGTAAATGAGGAATTACTACACTTTACTAAAGGTTATATGCATGTTCTTGGTGTCCTTGGACATCTAGAGACTTCAGAGAATGTGTTCCAAGTGTCAGAAGTGTTTTATCTGTCATTATGCCTGAGTAAATT